CAGCTGCTTCCTTTCAACACTCATTTCCCTCTTGTTTGCCTTAGTGTCTTTTCCTTAGCCGGAACAGTTTTCTGCTCCTCCTTTTCTTCTAATTTCTCTCCTTATTGCTTTAGTCTTCCTGTTTCCCCCCTTTGCAAGTTTGCTGTCTTTACCTCCCCACTCACAGGCAACCTCCTTTATCTCTAGCGTCCCTTATCTCTCTCCCCGATTGGCAAACGACCAGTGGCTTTGTTTCAACACCCACTTCCCTCTTTAAAAAAAAAAGCATAGTCTGCTTTTTACCCCTGGGACATTTGGCTCCAGGGACCACACATTCACTCCATAAGATGCAGACATTTCCCCATACTTTTTAGGAAGAAAAAAGTGCGTCTTACGGAGCGAAAAATACAGTAAATACATAGATAGATAGATAGATAGATAGATAGATGGAGGAGCAGGGAACCTGTAGCTCTTCAGATGTCGCTGGTCTACAAGGCCCATTGACCCTGACCACTGGTCAAGCTGGCTGGGACTGATGGGAGATGTGAGTCCAACAACTGGAAAGCCACAACTTACCCACCTGCTACTTCAATCAGCATTACAACAAGGGATGTGACTGCTACACTTTTTACAGTTTCAAATGCACATTATACAATCTGTGTCCTGGGGAAATGTTAGACAGATGTGCTTGTGATTGCTACTGAGCCACTTCCCACCGTCATCCTACACCCTGCCGTTTACCAATGCTGCCTTTGAAAATCAGTAAAAATGCTGTCACAGACAATTGCAACTGAGAAATGGTACAATTTTCTTTATTAAAAATAATTTACATCCGTTTTAACATTTTATGCACAGTTCTCAGCAAATTGAACTTTGTAATATTTCTATACAATACTTATTAATGAATGTAAAACAATTATATACTGTTTTGTTGCAGTTGCTTAAGTGTGGTTAATAAAATGCATTATTTCACAGATGTATAATTTATATTAACAGCCTCCAAATTTGATAAAGGATTAAAGGTTCGCTTTCGAATCAGAACTGAAGAGAACTTGAAAACAAAATAGATTTCCAGTTCCCATTATTTTACCCTTCCTTAACTCACCCCAAGCCTTTCTGAGCAAAATATATATTGTGCTGCTGCTAAGCAATAAAGGTAAAGGTACCCCTGCCCATACGGGCCAGTCGTGTCCGACTCTGGGGTTGCGCGCCCATCTCGCTTAAGAGGCTGGGGGCCAGTGCTGTCCGAAGACACTTCCGGGTCACGTGGCCAGCGTGACAAGCTGCATCTGGCGAGCCAGTGCAGCACACGGAAACGGCATTTACCTTCCCGCTAGTAAGCGGTCCCTATTTATCTACTTGCACTTGGGGGTGCTTTTGAACTGCTAGGTTGGCAGGCGCTGGGACCGAGCAACGGGAGCACACCCCGCCGCGAGGATTCGAACCGCCGACCTGACGGTCGGCAAGTCCTAGGCGCTGAGGTTTTACCCACAGCGCCACCCGCATCCCTAAGCAATGGATATACAGTGGTGCCCCGCAAGACGAATGCCTCGCAAGACGGAAAACTCGCTAGACAAAAGTTTTCCGTTTTGGAGGTGCTTCGCAAAACGAATTTCCTATGGGCTTGCTTCGCAAGACGACAATGTCTTGTGAGTTCCTGGTTTTTTTTCCCTCCCCCCCTTTTTCTAAGCCACTAAGCTGCTTATCAGCTGATCTGATCAGCAGATAAGCCGCTAAAAGCCGCTAATAGCGCTAATCCTTCAATGGGCTTGCTTCGCAAGACGAATAAACCGCTAGACGAAGAGAATCACAGAACGGATTCTTTTCGTCTTGCGAGGCACCACTGTAGGTAATTTCTCTCCACCCAATACAGGGAACTACTTTGCATGTCAAAAAAAGATGACGTATATCACTTAGCTCTGGTCATTCAGATATGCTTTCTGCCTGTATCAGGAAAACAAGTCCACTCATATCCACGAGTGTGATCTCGAAGGGGGGCGGCGGCGGCAATGCTCAAGTCCCACTAAAATGATTCCAGACCTGCAGCCCAACTTAAGGCATGTTTACTTTGAAGTAAATCCCACGGGGTCAAGGGGAATTGCTCCCAAGTAAAAATACAAAGGATTGAGCCTTGAAAACAGAGTATTTCCAGTCTGGAAGGGAAAATCCAAGTGATGGCCAAAACCATCAAGGCAGCTCAAGCTGTCAGTCAACACACAGCGAAAAACTACAATGGGAGGCCCTGTACTTTTAAGGAAATGGCTACAGTGGTGCCTCGCAAGACAAAATTAATTCATTCCGCGAATTTTTTTGTCTAGCGAATTTTTCGTCTTGCGAAGCACGGTGTTGGAAAAGTTTTGGAAAAGCTTCAAAAATCACCAAAAACCTCAAAAAAGGCTACCACACCGCGTTCTATGAGTTGCTCCTCGAAGTCAAGTCACAACTGTATTAACGGTGTAAAGAAAAAGGAAACCTGCAAGACGTTTTCGTCTTGCGAAGCAAGCCCATAGGGAAATTCGTCTTGCGAAGCAGCTCAAAAACCGCAAAACCCTTTCGTCTAGCGAGTTTTTCGTCTTGCGAGGCATTCGTCTTGCGGGGCACCACTGTACTACTGATTTCATGGACCAGGAAAATAACGCCATGCCTATCTATGAGAACGAAATTGGTTTGCTTAAAGAAGCATTTGAGTCTATCAGAACAAGGGCATTAATGAAGGCATTTTATGGGTGGTGTTTAACTTACTCCCAAAGGCATAGGGCAGCAAGCGATGAGGGATCCTGTGTATAAGTCACAAACATTTAAATGTGTCTGCGCCTTCAGGCAGGCCTGACAAATGTCATGTTCAGTTTGGTATTAGGGAATGATGGGTGCATCTGATAAGACAAACCAGCTGCATGTCTCATGCAGCAAGTATTTTTGAGTCTGGGTCCACTGATCCCTTACACTAACAAAGAAGATCCTACCAGACCAAAAAAGTTAGTTTAGATATTACTATTGGTAAGGTATCTTTAGTAACAACTACCTTGCTTCTGCAATTATCAGGACAGAACTCTGATGCCAAGCATTTCATTCAAACACCAATAATGCAGATAAGAGACCTCTCTCAGTATATTGGTAGTAAAAAGGTATTATTAACCTTGAGAAAAGCACCTAGCACATCATATATAGTGGAGATGATGATGATAATAAATTAATAATATTACTTATACCCTGCCCATCTGGCTGGGTTTCCCCAGCTACTCTGGGCGGCTTCCAACAAGAGATTAAAAATACATTAAAACATCAGTCATTAAAAACTTCCCTAAACAGGAAGTTTAGACAATACCGGCCTGGTTCACCTGTAAGAATAAACCGTGGCTTGTCAAACAAACTAGAGCTTGCTTCTCCAAAGTTTTGTTTTGTTTTTCAGCTGTTCATGCCTTTCTAACTTGGTGAGCTTCTGGGATGGGGTAGCCAAAGGAACTATGAATAACGAAGAGTGATGGGTTCGTGTAGAACACGAAGCTACAGTTAAAACAAAGCAAGAGTCATAAACTAACAACAAACCTAGCTTCAGATTATGGCTTGTTAGCAATAAGTAAGCAAAACAGAGTTAAGCCCCTGGGCAGAGATCAGGCAAGCAAGCAAACCATGGTTTAATTAACCATGGCTTAGTGTTACGTGCAAACCAGACTTTTAAAGAATGCCAACAGAACTCAATAAAACTCCACCAAACAAGGGCTGAGGTGTTTATCTCACTCATTCACTGAAAAGAACAGTGCTTCAAATGGGTTAGATTCATATGCATGCTCACATACTCTTTCCTGGTCATTTAACCTTTCTTTCCTCAAAATTATTTGCAAGGATACTAGGTTGTCATTGGAGATTTTCTGTGGTGCACTATTCACTTGGAACGTATTTTTTCTGCATAAGGATGCGTTTGTTCTTAAATTGCTCCTTATACAATAAATTGAAATGGACTTTAATTACTAATGACATTTTCGTGCAGTGGAAATTTCCAAAGAGCAAAACCAATTTTACTGTGTATACCTGGTGGGCTAGGTCAATCTTAAAGGTTACTTCTTACTGTACAATAATTGGCACAGACCATGTTGTTAACTAAAACTACTTTAAGGTACAGAGTATGTGAAAAAGAATCCGACACAACTCATTTAAAACCCACCAGGCCTCTGCTTTCCCTGCTGTGACACAGAATATGCTCAATTATATACAGGAAACTGCTTCCAGTGGCAACACTGAGAGTCCAAAAAGCAGCAGCAGCAGCAATGTCCCTGTTTTAACAGGTAGTTTGGTCCAGAATGCAAGGATCTTTAAGAACTGATTCCGTCCTGTAAATGGGAGTACAAAGCCACAGAGCTGCCTCAGCAATGTAAGTGGGTATTTAAAATATTCTTTAGGCCAAAAAATTGCAGCTGTTTTTCACTGCATACTAAAAGCAGAAGAGAAGGAAACCAGAGAGCCTAGTTAAAACAGAACAAGTTGAAACCCATTGTTGCGGCTTCCGATGCTTTCCGCCATGGTGAAAAGCGGCTCCCACACTAGCGGAGATCGTTCGTGCAGCTAATTAAGGATAATTTGAAAGTAATTATCCTTGCAAGCCCCCCCATCCCTGTTCGGTGTGTGTGTGTGTGTGTGTGTGTGTGTGTTTTCACTCGCAGATCGTCTGATGCCTGCCTCTCGTTCTGATGGAATGTGGGAGGAAGGGGACGCTGATGAACGTATCAGTAACTCTCCAACGTGGTCACTATGAGCGGAGGTTCTTGTTTCTTAGGATGGATTTGGTTTTGGATCTAAGTAACAGGCGTGTTCTGGACTAAGGGGACAAGATAATTTGCTAAATGAATCAGCCACTGAGTGCCAAGGCCTAATCTGGAGAGGATTTTCATTGTAACCTGATTGGTATGTAGGGGGAGGGGAGCCTTTACCCTTTCTTTATATACATTATATTTGCTGTTTTATGATTTGGCAAACCTTCCCCAAAGTATTAATTGTTAATGGATTGGAAAAAATGCAAGAGGGAATTAACAAGAGCTTCATAATTTTTATGGATTAATTGCAAGAATTAAACTGTGTAAAACATCACAATGATTTGTGGCATGGACCTTCTACGGAATGGTAAAGAAGACTTTGGTTCTGACATCATGGCTTTGGAGAGATACCGGCTTGTTAATGGATGGGAGAGGGATCAAAGAAGATAATTCTGGATATCTGCCCAGGGCTATAGTGAGACACCAGACCTCTCTTTGTCTTGGATAAGCAAAATGGCGTGTGTTGCAGTGAAAATTGTTGGCCTTGAGTGCAGAAAGCGCAAGTGAAGGGAAATGCTGAGCATGGAATAGAACATGAAGAGTAAAGATGAACGAAAAACAAACATTTCACACAGAAATTTACAGGATCAAACTCCCCTTGCAAAACTAATGGATATGGAACAGTTAAATGCGAATGAAATTAGTGGCTGTTAAAATAAAGGATCAAGATCGGAACTGTTGTATTTGGACTGAGAGTATTGGAGCAGGACAAAATAAGATCATCATTCCCTGAAATCCAGAACCCGGGAAGTCATTCAAAATTGTTTAATTTGGTATTGGATAATTGGCTTTTTAAATCATATTATAATTTGGTATTGTATTAATATGGCTTTTATTAGATTGTTATAAATGAAAATTCTTAAAAATTATTAATCGAAACCCATTGTTGCAGCTCGGTTCCTCAGCGATTGGTAGCCCAGGTTGCTTCTCTCAGGATCATAGCTGGGGGGGCTAGCCTGTTTTTTTGCCCCAGGTGAAGTCTCCAGAGGAATGCCATTGAAGCTCTCAGCCTGTGTGTTTGTGTATAGAAATGGGGGGGGGGGCACGCACTGCCAAACTAAATCTTTGACCAGGTGAAATAAACTCTAATTTTGCCCCTGCTTCTCTACATTCATTAACTCCAAAAGGCAAATGGGGAAAAGAGATTGCTGCTGTTTCAGCAAAGGGGGAGGTGAGGCCAACCCTGAAAACATCCATACTAGCTCCTTGTCAAAAATTCACCTAGTTTTGCGTTAAGATTGCAGCGTCCTGTGTTTGTAACTTGTGGCCTTCACACTGACTTTTGCTTTTGATTTTATGGAAACCTTAATTAAAAGGAAACTACCCATCCTCATCAAGCCAAACCATGTGCTGCCCTCAAACCAACAGACAGCAGTAAGGAAGCGAAGGTGTCAAAACTGGGGTGGGGCCCAACGACAGATAGTCTTCTGGCTTAAAATCTTCAACACAATTCAGTTTCAGGTTTCATGTCACTTTATTTACAAAATGGCCTAAGACAACCCCCTCCCGCCCATCCCCATACTTACAGCTCTCTTTCACAACACACACGTCAATTTTTTAAGCAATGTCAATAGCACCATTCGAGTATTATTTTTAAAATCCAGGCGGATCTTGCTGCAGTCACTACAACAATTCACAATCTTTTACATCCATGGACGAAATTTCAGAGTGCAGCAGGACTGTACGCAGTTCCATCGATGGAGTGAGGCCTGTGCAAGCCATTGCGGGGTTGGCCCATTGATGCGCATAGTCCCTCAAGGTGTGAGCAGGCCTCTACAACAGCCTTCGGACCATGTAGTTCAGAATGCCACCATGTTTGTATAACGTTATGTCCATGTCACTGTCAAATGCGGCAACCACATGAAATACTTTCCCTGTGTTTGTCTTTAAAGAGACAAGAATGAGAGGCAAAAGCAAGAAATATGTTAGAACTGTGTCATTTCCTAACATCTCTATACAGTGGTACCTCGGGTTACATACGCTTCAGGTTACAGACTCCGCTAACCCAGAAATAGTGCTTCAGGGTAAGCACTTTGCTTCAGGATGAGAACAGAAATCGTGCTCTGGCGGCGCAGCAGCAGGAGGAGGCCCCATTAGCTAAAGTGGTGCTTCAGGTTAAGAACAGTTTCAGGTTAAGAATGGACCTCCAGAACGAATTAAGTACTTAACCCGAGGTACCACTGTAGTAGGATATTCTGTAATAACGACAGCATATTGCAGAAACAAAAATCCTGAGACCCTCAAGTCTTGCTTTAAACTAAACTAGTTTTATTGCTTGTGGAAGTTAATAACTTAATAAAAATACCAGCAAAGTCTGTAATGTTGGGGATCTGGGACTGAGCATGCAGATCTGCTCCTAAACAGCAATTTGACACTCCTATGCTCTTCACAGCTCTGATTCTAAGTGTTTCTCCTTTTCCCGTAAGTTATGAAAGAAAAACAACAACCCCTCTGTAAGGAAATAACTGTGGCAGATACACTAGTCATACTCTGAGCAGACCCACTGAAATCAATGGATGTAAGCTTATCATAACTAATTTAAATTGGATACCACCCCACAATAATTATGTAGGTCGGCTTCACTGGAAGGGAGCTGCACAAGAGCACAGGGCAACTGCACAGCTCCTGCTCAGTCTCTGGGGCACCTGTGCAACCGAGGCGTGTTCAACTAAATCCTACCCATAGGAGACCCACTGGATACCTAGTGAGTCAGATCTCTGCCCCTGCCCCTCACTTTGCTGCACTCAAAAAAATTACAGTGGTACCTCGGGTTAAGTACTTAGTTCGTTCTGGAGGTCCGTACTTAACCTGGAACTGTTGTTAACCTGAAGCACCACTTTAGCTACTGGGGCCTCCTGCTGCTGTCGCGCTGCCGGAGCACAATTTCTGTTCTCATCCTGAAGCAAAGTTCTTAACCTGAAGCACTATTTCTGGGTTAGCAGAGTCTGTAACCTGAAGCGTATGTAACCTGAAGTGTATGTAACCTGAGGTACCACTGTATTGCCTTAAGATTGTTGCCTGTGCCATGCGCCTCTGTGTAGCCCTGCATGTGTTTAAAAATATGTCTCTTTATGAATTCAGACAACATTGCTCCCAATTATGTTTTTGCACCATTCAAATGACCTTGACATAAGTCTTCCCTTTATCTGAGCACCTTTCAGGACACTGAGCCGCTTAGCACAGCTTGCTTTGCATATACAGTGGTACCTCGGGTTAAGAACTTAATTCGTTCTGGAGGTCCGTTCTTAACCTGAAACTGTTCTTAACCTGAAGCACCACTTTAGCTAATGGGGCCTCCCACTGCTGCGCCGCCGGAGCACGATTTCTGTTCTCATCCTGAAGCAAAGTTCTTAACCCGAGGTACTATTTCTGGGTTAGCGGAGTCTGTAACCTGAAGCGTATGTAACCCGAGGTACCACTGTATTTGTACCTTAGGAGCAGTTCTCTAAGTCTCTGCAGGGGTGGGGAAACTGCGGTCTTCCATGTGTTGCTAGCCCACAACTCCCATCAACCCTCATCGCTGGCTATACCAGTTAGGTCTGAAGTCCTGTCCAACAACATCTGGAGGGCCACAAGTTCCCCATCCCTGATCTAAAGGCCAACTCTGGTGCTGACTTCTCACTCAAAGGGAGACCCCCCCAAACACAGCTCATATTAACTTACTTTACACATCCACCTAATGTGAAATGGTGTGGATACCATAAAACTGTGTCATTAGCAGCTTACAACAGAGGACAAACCATCACATTTGCGCTTCAAGGAAAAAGTAAATCTCTTCTATTACTAACACTTGCATTCAGAAGTCAGTCTGAGTTACCTTTACATCTAGGGAGATTCCAGGGGACAACTCATGAGGAAATGAGATTGAAAACTGTTCTTTGCCTGTCAGGCCCCAAAACGTTGCGTTTTCCTCGGGGAGGAACTGGAGCGGAGCAATGCCCATTCCAATCAAATGACTTTTATGGATCTTCTCATAGCTTTCAGCAATAACTGCTTTCACACCCTGTAGAAAGAGTTGTATCTGGCTTAGATACCATCTGAACAATAATAAAAGTCATCTTCATACAACCGCTCAACCCTTCTGTTAATACAAAACGTGGAGAAAATCTCAAGACAGAGAAATCTAGTTTATTGGAAAGTGGCAGGAATGCTAGCCAAGAGTCATGAGGGTAGTAACAATGTTAACTAGCTACTACTGTCCAGCACAGATAGGAAAAATGTAGTCCAGCAGCATCCTGAGGGGCCACAACTCTTACTAGCCCTAACCATTGGCCATACTAGCCAGGCACTTATGGGAGTTAGGAGTCCTAGATCTGTTATTGCCACTGAAATAAAACCTCGTTAGGTCTAGTTTACCAGGATTTCTGGTCGATAAGCTAGAAGCAACTATGTTAAATTGTTGATTCAGATGTGCATTATCTCTAAACTGGTCCCAGTTTGTGAATTTAATGGTCAAAACCACAAACGGGCACTCTTTAAAGCTCAGTGAAAAAACTGGCTCATGCATTTTCAGAAGGCAAAAAATGGCATGCTTTAAGCTCTATGAAAAACAGGCAAGCAAAATCCTGTCAAGCAACCTGAAGTAATAAAACACCGAGGCTTCTTGTTACTTCAAAGTTAACACAATGGAAACATACCAGTAAAAAAGGTCCTTTTGCAGCCCAGTCTCTCGAGCTCCCCAGTCCATACTTCTTGCCTGCTAAGATTATCAGAGGGATATTCTCTTTGCGATACAACTCAGCTGCATCAAATACATCTAGCTGCAGGGGAGAGAGCAAGAGAGAGAAATAGACGGGGGGAAAGGACATGGGAACATTTCTAATATGCAGCAGCCCCCCATAGCTTTGAACAAATATGTCCTCACCGTCTGTCCAGTTGGAAAGTGAATTGTTTTAGGAGCAGGTTTCCCAATGAATTTATTGAAAAGTTTTATGTTTGCAAAGGTGCCTCTTGTCATCACTGCATCGTTTCCCCGCCGAGCACCATAGGAATTGAATTCACGGGGCGTGAGGCTACGAGAGACAGCAGAGCATGCTCAGTATAAACGTGCAACCTGAAAAGTGGACTTTGCTCACAAACATCCCTTAGGGAAGTTTTCCTGTGTCATAGACTGCTAGTCAGGTGTGGAACCCTAAGAATACGGTCAAAGTATTATATCATGTGTGTGAGTTATAAATGGATAGCAGGCACTTAAGGCATTCTGACTACCTGTTAACCCTGCAGGGACCTGCAGCCTAATATATGAAGCTCTGCAGATGACACTGAACTAAGCAGAAGGTTCGCTATGAATAAAGGTAAAGGTGAAGGGACCCCTGACAATTAGGTCCAGTTGTGGCTGACTCTGGGGTTGCGGTGCTCACCTCGCTTTATTGGCCGAGGGAGCCGGTGTACAGCTTCCGGGTCATGTGGCCAGCATGACTAAGCCGCTTCTGGCAAACCAGAGCAGCGCACATAAACGCCATTTACCTTTCCGCTGGAGTGGTACCTATTTATCTACTTGCACTTTGACGTGCTTTCGAACTGCTAGGTTGGCAGGAGCAGGGACCAAGCAACGGGAGCTCACCCTGTCGCGCGGACCTTCACCCTGTCACCACCAACCTTCTGATCGGCAAGTCCTAGGCTCTGTGGTTTAACCCACAGTGCACCCACGTCCCTTTTCACTATGAATAGGGTCCAGTAAAAACAGGACAGATTATGCAGAAAATTCTGACTATAAGCCTGAAAGAAATTCAGTTAATCCTGCTTAGCAACCTACTTTAGCTATGGCACACACTGTTCATCTGGCCAAGCAGCAACCACCACAGTAAAGCAATTTGTGAGGACCAGCTGAATTCTTCATTTTCTTTCCCTCACAGTTCCTCTGAAGTTTCTTACCCCTTGTTGGTTAAGTATCTGGCAGCAGCGCTGCCCCTCGCAATGCTTCCTGCAGGTGAGATGTGATCTGTCGTGACCGAATCCCCCAAAAACAACAAGACGTGCGCATTTTCAATACACTGGGGTGGAAGAGGGTCTTTGGTCTGCCAGATGAATGGACACAAAAGTAGATGAATACACCCCCTCTCCTGGTTAGTTGAAAACATACCCAAAAGGCACAAAATGGAGCTAATGTCAAAAGGTAAAGATGTTCCAAAGTATGAAAGCAAGAACGTGCGCACAGCCCTGGAAGACTAGTAGCTATCTAGCAAAGGACCAGCTTCCCACAAAGGCAAAACTGATGTTTCTGAGAAATCAACAAGCAAAGCAGGTGCCCTCTAGCTTCTCGTATTCTAAGGCATACTGTTTCTGAACACAGAAGGTGCCATTTAGCCATTAAGACTAGTAGCCACCGATAGATCTGCCCTCCAAGAACATGGCCATTCTTCTTTAATATCTCTCTAAGGAAGCGGCTGTCACATATTGTGGCAGCAAATTCCATAAATTAATGTTGTGGTATTTGAAGAAGTACTTCTTTTTGACTGTCCTGAACCTAGTGCTAGTGTTATGAGAGCTCCTTTCCATTGAGAAGGACAGCAGAACCGTGTTGACATCTTAAATTGTGGTCAGAAACATTCCCCTCACTTATTAAGTTCCCTTTCCTACAATACCTAGAACACCTCAAACATACAGACTTGGTGTTACCATACTTACAAGCTTATCAAAAAAGGAAGGACATCGGATGTAAGTAGACTTCCAATCCCACGTAAATAAGACTGATTCAGGCGCTTCTAGAGAATTCCACCGCTTATTTCCTTTCTGCAAAGCAGGAGATATAATGTGATCATCATCTCCTTTCTTGTACCCAAAATGCCAGTTACTGAATATAATATAGTGGAAACACCACAACAAAATACCACATCAACATTTCTTTTCTTTGTAACTGATAACTCTTGTTAACTCAGCCTTCCAAAAATTTCTTGCTGTTAATAATAACAATAATTTATTTGTACCCTGCCTAATTTATTTGTATCTCAGCCTAACCTACTTCAAAGGGTTGTTGCAAGGATAAAACAGTGAGAATGAAGGAGACTGTCTGAGATCCTTAGAGGCAGGTTATAAACACAGTAAATAAATCAGGACATCTGGCTGTTTACGCTCTTGCTTTTTATATTTGCTATAGATCTGGCATACAGAAGTGCTAAAGGCTAACAAAGATGTTTGAATCAGTATGCATAATTTCATTTTAAAATTTACATACTACATTCCCCGCTAGGAACATGGCACACCGAGTGATGCACAGGAAAAAGCGTTTCATTTGAGTCTTGCTGAGTCAGAACAGGGGTAGGACACCTTTTTCACCCCAAGGGCCACACTCCCTCATGGAAATGCAAGTGACCTGAGGGACCAGAGGCAAAAGTGGGCAGATCCATGTATGTGACTGTTACCTTGTCTACAGGAGGGGACATTCCAGCCATGCAAAAAAAGGAATAGGTTTCCCATGCACACACCTCTCTCCAGACAGGCAAGCAAGTGGCATTATTACAGTTCCAGGACACCTGCTAGGCAGGCAAAAGCGCCCGAGGGCTTGGAGCGCAGGGGGTGAGGCCAGAGAAGGAGCAAAGCCTCTGTCAGAGACAGTGCTTGGCCCTGAGGATCCCTGTCCCTGATTAATAACAATGTCAAACTACCTCCATTTTCTCCTTCAGCTCTTTAAACATGGATGATATTACGAACTCTTCTTCCACTTGCTGAAGTTCTTCTCGAGTGGGCCAAATATCATGCAAGAAGATTCTTTTGCCATCAGGACTGACCCCTACAAAGAAATTTTGATCATGGTGATAACAGCAGAAATTACTCCTCTGCCATTTCTACCCGTCTTAAAAGCATTACGAACACCCAATAGCTTTCTTAGCTGCACATACTGCACATGATTCGCTCTATGACACACAATATTCCCCTTAGCTCACCTGAAAGCAAATCACTTTTGCAGAAGAGAAAATTGCTGAACTGGTTCACAACGATCAACTTGGTTGCTTTGTTAGAAAACATAGGTAGGTTATTTTATGGCGTAGCAGAATCTAGGCCATAATGCATCATACACTAGGTGAGGCTTCAAACAGCGCAAGAATGGTAAGCGTTGCTCTTAGAGCAAGTTAAATGCCCTGAGAGCATTACAGGAACAAGCCAAGTCCTGGATGAAATAGGAGCTGGAAGGAGAGGGATAGTTACCTAATGGCTCAGTCTGGAAATCAATATTCACAGTTCCTGCTATAGCATAAGCCACAACTAGAGGCGGGGAAGCAAGGTAATTGGCACAGATGCAGCTGCAGAGACGGCCCTCGAAGTTTTTATTTCCAGACAAAACTCCACAAGCAACCAAGTCACCCTGAAAGGCAGAAAATTATACATTTCTCAACATCTGCTTCATTGTCATGGTTGCTTGAATTTCTGTGAGAGTTTACAAGTAGCTATAAAGGAAAAGCTGAGGGGTAACCCTTGATGAAGGATACCCTCTTAGTGGCAAGAATGATTATTCGCTTCTCATATTCCTAACCTCATATTGTTCCTTAACACTCAAACTACAGAATTTGCCTTTAAACCAGGGCTGGGGAACTTGCCACCCTCCAGATGTTGTTGGGAGTAGAATGGAACTCCAATACTGGTATTAATTTTCCTAGCGCATAAAGATATATACTATGGGACAGACAGACAGACAGACAGAAAATACTTAAGTGCACGGGGGCAATTATAGGGAAAAGGGCCCCTACTTTCCTAGCTCTGCACACATCACAGAAGATCTCACCCTCCAGCCTAAACAGTCAGCAGGGCAAAGTCTGGACCTTTTATTTTCCCCAATTGGTCAACAGGAACAAAGTCCATTATGCTACAGTTGTTAAAACATTACCTGCACAATTGCATTCTGAATGGTTTCTGGCAAAGGAGCGGTATTCCCAACACATGTGGAACATCCATAGCCAACGACCTCAAATCTAGAGCAAAACCAGGATTTTAAGAAAATGTCAGCGTTTCATTAGTGCAACCTACTTTTTCATTCACCTTTTCACTGCAGTGAAATCTTTGAAGTTCCCCTGCACGTTATGGGATCATTTGAAGAGAGCTGCTGCATGGCCAGGGCCTCAAGACTCTCTACCTGTCATACTGAAATCCTTTCTGCCAGTGGGAAAATGGGAGGTCATGAAAAAGGTTGCTGATTCAACCCCTGGCACCTCCAGTTTTAAGTAAGGGCAGCAGGTGGAAAAAGACCTCTGCATTGTATCCCACTATGTTCTACCTGGAGTAGACTCACATAAATTAATGGAGCTCTGTTTGTTACATCTATTAATTTCAGTGGGTCTACTCTGACAAGACCTTAGTTGGATCCAGCCCCATGGCTTGAGATCCTTAAGAGCTGCTGCCAGTCAGAGAAACAATGCTGGACTAGATGGACTCTCTCTAGACCAGGAATGTTTCTCTGATAAGACAAATAGTTTGACCCCTTATAATGCAGCTTCCCATGTTCCTATGTGTGCTTGAGCAAATTTTCAATAAATAAGCATGCCCCCCAGTAAATTATGATCTGTGGGGTTTGTTTGTTTTTGGAAAAAAAATACTATGAGTATAAATACAGCAATGCTTAGCATATGCCTTACAGCAATTATTTAGCTTCTGAATGCTGAGCTGGTCAAATGTGATGTGGCTAAAAACCATGAGCCGCAGAAACTTTAAAAATTAATCAAATGCCAGTGAGTTTGCAAGCAACACACTAATTCAGAAGCTATATGATGTTTCCATGTGTTACTTCTTTTGGATCTGACCATGTCACTTTAAGCATGCATTATAAGCCTCTACATATAAGATCACAGAGTCTGTAAAACTTCTACATATAAGAGCAAAGAAATTAGTACCCAAGTTTATTAAGGTATGGCAATACACCACTGGAAGTGAGATAGTGCGTGACCATTCCGCTGCCAGGCGATAAGCTGGTTCTTATGTACGGTTTAACAGTCAGACCAGCTTCAATGGCTTTTTTGGCCAACAGACCTAGGGAAGAATGAAAGCAGCAGTGAAATAACGGTACAAAAATTCTAAGGGGCAAAAGTTATGTTGCCTATAGATAAATTACCACAACAGGTAGTACTGTTGGAGGAAAGTTTGCTCTTCAGTTTAGAACAGATTATGTATATGCAGAAGGGTCTCAGGTACAAATCCTGCAATATCCCTTTAAAAAAAGTCTCCTGTTATATGTTCAAGAATTTTTTGTCCACAACCCAGAAGAAATCTCTGCCCAAGTCCCTGATGAACAGTTGCCAGTTAGGATTAACAGTTCAGGGTAGATGGACCAATGTATGACTCTCTGTCACTGGAGGTTTTTAAGCAGAGGTTGGATGGCTATCTGTCAGGGATTCTTCAGCTGGGATTCCTGCATTGCAGGGGGTTGGACTAGATGACCCATGGGGTCCCTTCCAACTCTACAATTCTATGAATCTATGTAAGACAGCTCTAGATACCATATTAAATTCATAAGCAGCAATATCAAGTCCTGGTGCAGCATAGCCTCCATTCATTTTGATGGGGCGTAGCGGATTATGACCTTCATCCTCTTTTGATAAGAAATTTCAGAAAGACGAAATTCTAACATTTATGCTTTTGCATAAATCCCCAGAAAGTTCAATCCTATGAGCCAGCAGGTTGACCACTTGTTTATATTAAGGCAACACCAAAATCATAGCTTCACTGGTACAAGGTCACCATTAGCAATGCTGCTCTCGTGCTGGAAGCTGGCCCAGGACACTGCTGTTGTAGTATTGCAGGCATAACTTCAAGAACTACCACCACTTTTTCACAGGTAATGAACAGAACTTTAAACACAATAAATAATAAAATACATTTTTTTAAAAAAACAACAGCTACTACTGTCAGGTGCAGAACACTGGGAACTGTGAAAAAGCTGCCGTGTTGCACCAGGTACTGCTGAATCTGTGAATCATTTTAAAGACATACTGTTCAACAAAAAACCACAATCCTAGTACAATTTCAGCTATCCAAATTTAATAGGATTATAACTAAAAGGCACCTCCACACTTTTCAAGCTTCTGCTTAAGCTACACTGGCACAAACTCCTCTGTCTGCCTTCTATATAGACATTTATAGGATGGCAGTTTGCTTAACTTGGCTCTATAATGCCATTGTTACAGCAAGAGATAGAGAAGAAACCTGAATCCAGGCAGAGTATACCTGCTCCTAGCATTACAGAGGGGTTGCAGTTGTTTGTACAGCTGATTACTGCAGCAATGACGACTGATCCATGAGCCAGCTTGTACTCATTTCCTTCATACTCCACAGGAACCACATCCCTTTGCCTTTCAGCTGGAATCTGAAAGCCTTTAAAGCCAGCCTAGGGAATCAAAACAGGCATTGCAAAATCAATTACACAACAAATTCAAAGCTGCTTTTAAACAAGAGAGGGGACACTAGAATCCTGTGTTGGTGTATAGCCTTGGCAGCCAGGAAGCCAAAATCCAGTGGCAACATCTCCAATAAATTGGGGGAGCTAACACAAACTATTTTATTAATTTTGATTGCAAAATCTGCATGGAATACCTCAATCTGTATCCTCCCATTCCTAATGGTTTCGTGCAGACCAAGACAAATGTTTGGTTTTCCGTATGGCCGCACCTCAACCAGTGAAAGAGACAAGGGTTCTGCACTCATGTTTGCATGTTACAGCGCCCAGCTGGGAGCATGGGAAGACGTGTCATCTAGGTGTGCCCTTTGATTTTCAAGCATCACAACTGACAGGAAAGAGCTTAATTTTTGTTTTATAAAATGTTGTGACAGTGAAAGAAGCAGGCCTCTTTCCCACAGAACAGAGACTATATAATCCAAAAGCATAGAAACCCTAACAGTAGTTCTTCATTTCAACTGCACATACCTTTTCATTTAAGCAGGCCTGGAAATCACTCTTCATATTCGTAACAGCCACTCTGTCCTGTGCCCTTTTGGGACCACTTACATAGGGCATTATAGAACCCAGATTTATGCATATAACCTGATGGAGTAGAACATTTGTTAATAAATTATTGCACAGTATACATCACTGCACTGCTGCCTAGGCTTTCAATATAAGCTAGCCAAAATTTGTGGACTACCTGGACAATTTTGCAAGTTTCTTTCTACAAATCAGGCTTTGGCAATTTATGTAAGGCACACTTTGCAGACAAGCTGAAATTAACAACTTTTCTTTCTAGCAAAAGATGGAAAACAACTTCTTGAAGCAACATATTATGCGGTTTTAATATTTTTGAAAGTCACCCTAAATTAGCAGTTTACAAAGGCCATTTTACTGAACAGCAGTAATCCAAAATGCCATTAAAAAAAATACTAAGATTGAAATACTAAGAGCTAGCGTTTGAAATCCCAAACCACTTCACATAGTCTGCTCCACACCAGTTCCAACAAGAACTCCTGCGAATATCAGAAACTGCCAAAGAACACTGTAATTTGGGAGACATTTTGGGAAATCTTCAACCCACCCAGGAGGTAAGGTTTGAGGGAAGGAACTAAATTATACAAATATAATGTGTGCTCTTTTGGCCAAGACACGATACCAAAGTGGCTTACCATTAAAATGCACACAAATGCTTAACTGTAAAAGAGGCATGCACAGTAGAGTCTTCTGGTTTGTGGCAGTTGCAGATGGAAAGAGCAGGAGAGCTGAAGATGCTCAGTAGCTGACTGATGGTAAAGACGCCTGTCTATAGCAGCTGCCCTCCCTTGATGCTCTGAAAGCTCAGAATGCTGAGCTGCCCCCAGTGGTCTCATCCAGGTACTGATCCAAGCTCTTGCAGCTTCAGCAATGTCACAGCATCAGTTCACTGGATCTTTATTGCCCAAGCTTTATTATATTGTAGATGGGGTCGGGTACAGGTGGGACAAAATGGGAAGGAGAAAGTTGGTTGGAATGAGGCAGGTATGGGGACTATGTGCCCCTCAAGGTGCTGCAGGATTACAACTCCCATCATCACTGACCGTTAGGCCATGGCGGCTGGGGCAGACGGAAGCTTGAGTCCAACAACATCTGGAGGGGAACATGCTCCCCATGCTTGGAACAGGGAATTGGGTTCTCTTGAAAGTATAGGAGACCCTATTGGCTGGTGAGGCAAGGTAAAGGGTATAGATCCAAGCAAAACTCAAGCTGCAAATATGAAAGAGGCAAGCCCATTTTGACATTACCTGGGAATATTCAGGTTCTTCTGTGGAAAGTTCATAACTTCGAAGTAGTTTCACAGTTTTAAGATATGTTTCCATCAACTTAAGCCTGGTCTCATCAAAGCCTGTGGGAAACGGTTAAATAATCAGAAAAAAAATGTTTAAGTAATGAACCTTCTGCTGATATTCAAATCAGTAAGTTGATTGCGCCAAAGGCCATGACAAGTACATTAAAATGTACCTAAATACAAGCACAGTAATCACATAACAAGCACCAGCAATATAAAATAAGAAAAATCAAATAACTCAATTTCACATTAAAGGTACCCCTGCCCGTACGGGCTAGTCTTGCCAGACTCTAGGGTTGTGCGCCCATCTCACTCTATAGGCCGTGGGCCAGCGCTGTCCGGAGACACTTCCGGGTCACGTGGCCAGCGTGACATCGCTGCTCTGGCGAGCCAGAGCCGCACACGGAAACGCCGTTTACCTTCCCGCTTGTAAGCGGTCCCTATTTATCTACTTGCACCCGGGGGTGCTTTCGAACTGCTAGGTTGGCAGGCGCTGGGACCGAACGACGGGAGCGCACCCCGCCGCGGGGATTCAAACCACCGACCTTTCGATCGGCAAGCCCTAGGCGCTGAGGCTTTTACCCACAGCGCCACCCGCGTCCCTGCAATTTCACATTAAACCCTATCAAATAACTCAATTTCACATTAAACCCCATAGTCACCAAAACAATTTACGGCAACATTATTTGCTGATACAGCAGCATAACAGAGTAGCTCAATAGAACCTGTGCAACAGAACGTTTGAACTTAACTGCCTTTTCCTAACTCGAAATACCACAAGCCTCTGAAGAGTCCCTTCCAGGGAGCACTTAACTCCCAATTTCCTGCATGCATTAGCCAGGAAAAAAGACGGTAACCCGAGTATCTACTGCAGCATCTTACTTAAAGGAAGACAGAAGTGAATCAAATCAAGCCTCTCAAATATACACATTGAGCAGGAAGATACATTTTACACACACACACACACACACACACAGATTGTGTGAAGACCCTCAAGTCTGGGCGCTGCATGCAACCTTGCAGACCTCTCCATTGACAGCCTTGGGCGTCTCTCTAGGCCTTGCCTCCTCCAGGCCCTTCTGTAGTATTTCCACCTGACTGCAACGTGTCCCTGAACTGTGAGCCTCGTTTGACTTGATGGAGAGACATGCACGTTGGAGAGATCCAAGACTTTCACTGGATGAGAAACTATAACTCAAGAGTACGGTTTCTACCAAAATCTTTAATGCTCAGATCAGCAAGACAGGCAGACAAAGCACGGTTCAAAGGCACAGCAGGTGCTATATATGGCTAAGAGAGCTAACACAGGCAGAGGCAAACTCAGCCCTCCAGATGTTTTGAGACTACAATTCCCATCAGCCCTCACCACTGGTCCTGTTAGCTAGGGATGATGGGAGCTGTAGTCCCAAAACATTGGGAGGGCCAAGTTTGCCTATGCCATTGATCCAGCAAGTAGCACAACTCCCTCGGGTCCCATTATACGAGAATGGGGCAGGCATAACTTCAGCATGGCAAAGAGGTAAGCAAACCAAACTTCTTCTGGAGGTCTGGACCTGAACTGTCTGTTCACACCTCGCTAGCTTCTCTGTGGCCTAACTGATGGAGGAAGGCTATGCTACGGGGCCCCTCCTTGGGATCTGACTCCTTGTTCATACTTCCCTGCCACTCGAGGCCCTGACGCAGTCTGTCCCAAACTTCTGTGCCCCTTCCCAGTGTCATCAACCAGCAGCTTCCCCAACTTCCCCCACCCCCACAATGCCTTTTCTTTGGGACTCATGACGTGGATGTTTCCGATTTCCATGTAGCTGGAATGCAGCCCAAAAGTTAAGGCTGTCACCTACTGCTCTATCCACTTGTGGTTATGGCCCTGCTTGCCACTGGCATGCGTCCCCCAGAAGGCTAACTGATGGACAGAATGCAGCCCCAGGGCTGGGCAAGTTTCCTCGCCCCTTACAGATGGGAAAATTCCAATCTTGCAACAACATGTGAAATATTACACCAATTTATTTTGTTTAAAATGCATACAACAGTTACTTAACAGAAAGCCTGTAGGTAATATATTGCTATGGTAAAGCTCTGGAGAACCAGCTGTTTTAATTTCCGTCTTACCAGTGTGTTTTAAGTGCTTTAATGTCACATTGTCGATAGGGAAAAAGCTCAGGATAGCACCATATTCTGGACACATATTTGCTATTGTGGTCCGGTCACCTATGGAGAGCTGGGAAACTCCAGGCCCAAAGAACTCCACAAATTTTCCAGACACGCCTGCTTGCCTAAGTTGCTAAGGAGAGGAAAAAAGAAAAATCAAACACTGCATGCAGAACAAGGAGGCATCTTATGACATAAAGGTTTCGAATGAACTACTAGCAATTCCACCAAGAGAAATATACAGGATCATGAGGCAGGAGACTACCCTTGGGCCCTCTTAATCAGCAAGGAGCAGAGTATGGATGCGGAGTGAGTGCACTTCATTGCTCTGCAAGATGTTTTGGGCAAGTGAGCCAAGCTACACGCCGAATTCTTTAAACACACCATCTTCTGGTGTCACCATTCTTCAGTGCTGCCCTTTTGCTGCACAGCAATTAGTTAAGGCTGTGGGGCAATGGTTCTGAAGGTTTCCATTTCACTACCCTCTGGAGTCATGGAGACAGGGGGCGCCTACATCTAATACTACAAACTGACAAAATAACACTTTTTCATTTGATTCAATGACACAACTAGTTAGTTTAACCCAGGGTACATTTGATTTAAATCAAATCGATTTAAATCATGATTTAAATCACTAGTCAGAAAGACTTGATTTAAATCGCTAGTCAGTAAGACTTGATTTAAACCATTTTTTTACAGACTCAGCCTTGCTGGCATCCTCTTAATATTTACAACTAGATGAAGGTTTCATTTTTGGAATAGTAAATTTTCAGAGTAGTTTTTACAGTTATAGCAAAAATTACTGATTTTGTTATACTGTTAGAAATACATAGACAGATATTTATGAAATTATTGTGAGGTTTAATAAGTTAACTGTTTACATTCAGACAACTTTTCTGCTGAATTTTATTGGAAGGAGAAAAATATTAATTTCCTTAACAACAATTTAAACAATTTATTTAACTAAAACAATAACATTATAGCATATGTTTCCATGTTTGTTAACTGATGTGGTTAAACCATTTTTTAAAAAAACAAAAACTTAAGACTGTGTTTTAGCACACATGAAAAACTTTAAACAAATCCTTATTTCTTGATGAAATAAGGCCTTTGGACTATAATGTAACTTAAATACAAAACTATCTTTAGAAAGATTTTTCTTCCAAAAGCATTTTATTTAAAAAATCTGATTTAAATAAAGAGATCTGATTTAAATTTTTTAAAAAATCAATTTTAATTTTTTTTAAAAATCCGATTTTTTATTTTTTAAAAATCCAATTTTTTTATTTTTTAAAAAAAACCATTGATTTTTTAACCCACCCTGGTTTAACCATTACTGTATCCTTAGCGTGAAATTCTGCAGCCGGTTTGGTCAGAAAGCACAGTGCCGAGACACTATCCTGGTCATTACAAGCTTTGGTCTAGAATGGATGAAGAATTCTCTTCCATATCCGCCTTACAACTAATAGCTGAAGGGTTGCTATCCACCCCAGGGTCCTTCACCCTTAGTATCTAGGAAGGGAGGGAATCAAATCAGTCCCTGAGTTGACTTTCTTTTCTTCAGAAACACTCAGCTGGAAGCCAACAAAGAGCAGGTTCTTTAGTGTCTACAGGAGCAAGAAGGGAGAAAGAAGACTGAACCATATGGACACTATGTTGGCCAGGCATGGCTCTTTTTGAAACCAGAAGGTCTTTAAGGCTAGAGAGAGCCTCATGTGGGGTTACCATGATAAGTTGCTTAGGAACTTGCCCAGAGACAGCTGCTCCTTGTCCCTAGTAAGGGGTAACCTGCTGAAAGAGCACCAGTTGCTTCACCACAAACTTCCTTGGGTATCCATGGAGGTGGTGTTGAATTTCCCTTGTTTACCTGCCACTAAGTTTCTTAAGGCCTTGCCAAACCACTGCTAATGACACTGTAACCTTAGATAAAATCCTAGGCACTTTTATGTCACCTCCAGCAGAGCTAGTAAAACATGGCCTGCTTGACTTGGCAACAAAGAGAGCTCTAATTTACCTTTGTAATGCTCAGGACCACATCGATTGATGTGGCAAGCGGGCTGGCGGAGCCTGTCAGTTGACACCCAACCACCTCAGGCAGGGTGAGGGTGACTGGCAAGCCAAGCATGACGGCTTCGGTTTCAATTCCACCCACACCTGGAAGGAGATGTTACATCACTTAAAACAGCTTGGTAACTGGCAGATTCTTTAGAACTTTGAAGAGCATGCTAGCAGTATCTTCAGAAATCTTCTTTGTCAAAAGTCAAAACTGACTACTGGTAAAATAACCCCGTATCGTCCCCATTTTAACCTGACTGAAACACACACACACACACACACACACACGGAGCTGCCTTTTAGGAAAGATGTTGGAAAATCAGATATATAACCTCCAGGCCATACTGCCCCCAAAAGTGCCTCCCCCCCCCCACCTTCCTAGATTTTAGATAGCACACCTAGTTCCAACATTGGGGTTTTCCTTCATTTCAAAGGAAAAGCCAGCAGTCATTACACTAGGTTGCAACAGAGGGAAGAGAAAGGATGAAGGACCAATGTGCTGGTACAGCGAAAAGACCAGCAACTTTGGACCTCTCCTTGTCTTGAACATTTTCACACCAGCTGGTGATTAGAAGAACTAAGAACTTATACCCGAATCTGCCTATTTCCTCTCCCAACCCCAATCCATTTTCTTTTCGTGTTGTGCCTTTTAAACCAAGGGCAATGATGAGCAATTTTATTTATTTTTATTGTTAGTGAACTGTAAGCCATTATGGGGATCTTTTTTGGTTGAAAAGCAGGGTATAAATTATTTAAACTAATGTTGCATTGATTATAAATAAAAATTGAAATGGAAGATGAGGTCACCTTCTGGTGGGTTAATGAAGAGTTTCCCACCTTTGTCTTAGTAAAAGAAAGGAAGCTTTCTCTCCTCTCAAACTGTCAGGGCAAAGGTTTTCTTCATGAAAGTAACTTTAGATTACAGAAACTATACGGATTAAGACTGCCTGCATGCAGCATGATGTGCTGTGTATTATGCATAGCGTTAGTCTCCATTATGTCATGTAGTATTTTATACTTCTTCTCATACTTTCAAAAATCTAGTAGGTACTCTCTCCTAGCCCCCAGGTAGCAGTGTCTATTTAGATTTAAAACCCGTTGTACCCCCACAGAAAATGGAACTAAAAGAGAGGGATCAGGAGTAAAACACAGAATTTCAAAATACTGAACAAATAAGCCTCGCCTACAGAGAGTGGAGGGGACGCGGGTGGCGCTGAGCCTAGGACTTGTCGATAAGAAGGTCGGCTGTTCGAATCCCCGCAACAGGGTGAGCTCCCGTTGCTCGGTCCCTGCTCCTGCCAACCTAGCAGTTCGAAAGCATGTCAAAGTGCAAGTAGATAAATAGGTACTGCTCTGGTGGGAAGGTAAGCGGCGTTTCCGTGCGCTGCTCTGGTTCGCCAGAAGCAGCTTAGTCATGTTGGCCACATGACCCGGAAGCTGTACGGCGGCTCCCTTGGCCAGTAAAGCGAGATGAGCGCCGCAACCCCAGAGTCGGCCACGACTGGACCTAATGGTCAGGGGTCCCTTTACCTTTACCTTACAGAGGTAATACAAAAGCAGGGAAGCTCTCCACTGAGCCACAAACAGGTATGTACAGTGTCTTTGCCTGCCTGCCCTCCCCTGCCCCCTCCTCACTCTTACAGAAACACGGATGTTACGGTGGGTGAGGAGTCAGGTACAGCCAAAGCCTAATATTTTAAACAGTGAGTCTTATTTTTTAATTATTAAAGTAGTCTTTTTAAAAATTCATTGGGGGTCTGTTTAATCTCAAGACTGAATTAGTGAAGTGTGTTTTTAAGCACACTAATAATAATAATAAATAATAATAATAATAGAGCATATTTATATTTTCTCACACTTGCAACTTCCCCCTCTCCACCCAACTATCACAATAGAAAATGTTAATGGGGAAATTAAAATAAAGAGGAAGAAATTGAAAACTAGAGATGTAACAAGGAAGAACATTGTGAACTGCCAACTCATCTTACCCCATCCCAAGATTCCCAAGCCATTCACCATTGTTGTATGGGAATCAGTGCCAACAACGCTGTCTGGATAGAGGAAGTCTTTAACATCAAATACTACTCTTGACAAGTACTCCAGGTTCACTTGGTGGGCCATTCCTGTTCCAGGAGGAATTACTGAGACATTCCTGAAAACTTTGGAACCCCACTAGAGAGAGAGAGAGAGAGAGAGAGAGAGATAAAAGGGGTGGGGAATTAAGATAAGTGATCTTCGCACTCTCTGAACCAAGCAAGCTTTAGCAATTGGTTGAGTAAATGAGAAAAGGTACATCAGGATTTATTATTTTTTAACCAACGCATCCCATGTCTACTGGTAAAGAAAGGCAAACGGCTGAAAATATGAGTGTCTCAGCAAGTATTAGCATAGGAGAGAACCTACATAGCTATCACAGTTCATAAGATAGTGTGCCCCTTCACAGAGAAAAATTAGAGCTTCCTGCACAGGTTAAAAACTCTGCTGTTCTAGCCATGATCTGTCTCTCCATTATACCTTTCCTGAAGTATGTCAATCATAAACAGGACTTAATTCGAGAATGAGTATGCCATTTCATGTTCAATACCAGAAGCCTCCTTTTGTTCTCTTAGTTAAATATTCTGAAAGAAAGGGGGAAGGTTCAAAACTGATTGCAGAACAGACCCAAGCAGATCTCCACCAGACCACTTTGTGCGGTTCTGCCATAAGGTTCTTCAAACCAACGTACCTTGAAAAACTGAAGTCTCTCTCTATTTCTACCAAATTCCATCTCCTGGTTTTTTAACACTGTTTCCGGCCTACAGGGAAGAAAAAAATCAAACCCATATAAACATTACTGCTTTCTCTCCTAATATTTCACTTACAGTTGAAAACTGAGAAGTGTGGAACTGGTTAGGAGAGGCATTTTAACTCCACATGAAATGGCACATGCCTCCTCCACATTCCCTCTTTTTTAAACAAGCCAAGGTCTCTTGTAAAGCATGCAGTGAGTGTCTATTATGTGGCAATAAGCACTGCTTCAGATCGCATGGGGCAAGCTGGCTTTAAAAAGGTTAAAAAATAACCTTGCTATTAGAATGATGCTGCCATAAAGGGAAGATGTGCTTTCTAGCTACAGTTCTTAGAGGTAAGTAACCTTGAGCAAGAAGCAAGTAAGAGTCATGTTATACATGATAAGAAAACCACTTATCTTCATATCTTGTTACTGCAAATTAGAAAACCAGTAAGGTGACAAGTCAGGCATTAAGAAATATATCTGGAGGTATTTCTACTATGGCTGTCCAACAATTGTCCTCCTATATTATGCTTTGCTTAATCCCTGGCAGAGACTGAATTTTACTGCATGTGGCCAATCATCACGTCTTTCAGAAGAATGTTAAATGGATAGACCAAATCTGGCTTCCTCTCGTGGTTTGAAAAAAAATAAACAATGATTGCTGGATCACATGTGAATGATAAGTCAGTCCTCTGGTTCATTTCCTCCCAGCCAGGGAATGGAAGAACAGCATGATTTGAGAAGCACGTACCAGCACACTTTCTTGTTCATAGTAAACAAAGTCTGTCTTACCATTCTGTGTGAACCAGGCCTTCATGAAAGTTTCCCACTGAGAAAATACACATATAGAAACTCAGCTACAGAGCCAGTGTGGTGAAGAGGTTAGAGTGTTGGTCTAGGACCTGAGAGACCAGGGTTCAATTCCTCACTCAGCAGTGAAAGTCACAGGGCGACCTTAGGCCAGTCACAGTCTCTCAGCCTAACCCACCTCACAGGGTTATTGTCAGGGTAAAATGGCAGGGAAGAGAACCACATATACCATCCTAAGCTCCTTGGGGGGGTAGGTGGGCTAAAATGTAATACATCAAATTTAAAAATAAAATAAATATCTGCACTTTGGAAGCAGCCCTTACAATTCTTACATCTGGCAAAATGCCTGAGCAGAAAAACAGATTATTAAACCAGGCATGTCCAAAGTCTGTTTTGGCCTAATCTGGCTGACCCACTGGTCGATTTGGCCCTCTTTGAAAAAAGTTTGGGCACCCCTGGAACAAACCCCAGAATGTCTGAATATGAGGATGACTTTGTAGCTTGATGGTACACTGTTATGCTGCTGTGAACCACCCTGTGGTCGTTGGATGAAGAGCAGCATAAAAGTGTAATAATTATAAATATAAATAAATAACATTCAATAGGCTAGTAGACAATGTGGTTGTAGGATTCCACCATCCATGGCACCGTATGGTCTGATCTGAGATAAATAAAAAACGATACTTTCCATCTTACAAAGTGAACTAATAATTTTCTCCACGTAGTTGTGTATTGTTTAAAAAAGGAGAAAGATGTACAGTGGTACCTTGGGTTAAGTACTTAATTCATTCCGGAGGTCTGTTCTTAACCTGAAACTGTTCTTAACCTGAAGCAACACTTTAGCTAATGGGGCCCCTTCTGCTGCCACCACAGCACAATTTCTGTTCTCATCCTGAAGCAAAGTTCTTAACCCGAGGTACTATTTCTGGGTTAGCGGAGTCTGTAACCTGAAGCGTATGTAACCCGAGGTACCACTGTATCACATGTTTTGTTTTTAAAAGAAATAAAAAAGTAAGTGGCCTTTAGAATAAAAACATTATTGCATTGTCAAGCTTTCACTGTGGCAAAAGAAGCAAGACCTGAACTGTTATAGGCAGCCAACCTGTCAGTTTTTTATTGCCAGTAAGTTACAGCTTAATGTATGGCAGTGTTTAGTGTTAGATAAAGCAGTGCCTGATACTTAACATGCTCCATGTTAAACTTGAGGGATGTACTGTTAAACAGGAATTGGAAGAAAGCCCTAGCAATGCCACGGATGCTCATCTGCAGGAAGAAAGAAAACTGAAAAAAGGAGAATTGGAGAAAAAAATTTACTCAGGCACTGGTTGAAGATGAAAAGGACACAGCGGAGGCGTGTTCTCAATCTGCACAGAAAGTGGCCCCGAATTACGACCAGACTCTCCATCACATGGCCCTCTGCAGCTGGACTGGCCCCTGCACGGTAGCTTCCGAGGAGCTTTAAGTGGAGAAAGTTTTGGTGGTGGCCTCTGTGGATCACCACCTCCAGGATTGGGAGTGTTCTGTATTGCACTTTAAAAAGAAACAGAGAAAATAAACCGGTTTTAGTTTATCAAAATCCTTTGAATTACTAAATATAAAGTAAATGTAAAATATATACATTAAAAACCCCAAACAAAGCAACACTAGAATAGTGAGACCATGTTTTATCTCTCAAGAGATGAGAGATGCTAATGGTTTGGTTTGGTAAACTTCACCAGGCAGGCAATTTCAGCTAGGAGACATCCCCCATGCCTCTGTGTCTCACAGAACTGGCACCTGGGTGGTGCACTTTAATAGAGCAGGGGTCGGCAACTATGGCCCTTCATCTAATTTCACGAGGATGAGGAGGGGGGAGTGGAGGAGGGGAAGGGTGGCAGAAAAGAAAGGAAGTGGAAAAGGGGTTGCCCATTCACTTTTGGCTCTGGCTCTGCTTACTTCCAGTATGCAGTCCTCAATACAAGAGAGTCAATGTGGTGTAGTGGTTAGAGGGGCTTGACCGGGAGCAGAGAGTAGGAATTTCACATACATGAAGCGACCCACATTACACTATAACTGCTACTCAAAAAGTAGAATAAAAACAAAACAGTTGTACAATAAATACCATTTACTGAAGTCAATCTGCAAAGAATGGTCCACAGTGAGATCTGTTGGGCAGGCAGGATGAACTTTTGTAGGATCCCCTCCAAGATTTTTCACAGCTTCCCTCATAGCGGCAAAATCCACTATTGCAGGAATTCCACTAATGAAAATGACCAATGTAAAAAATATTTAGCTGCCATACAGAATAAAGATCCTTTAGAGCCAATGACACGGACCCCATAGTGGTTAACACAGCCTTAGTAGGTCCCACATGATAGCTCAGAAACACTCAGGAAAACTTTTATTTTATGCTACAGAATATCCTTGCACTGAATGGACCGGGTGAGACAATCCTCAAAACACATAGTTTGGAGAAATAGAAACAAACCACAGACTTGCACACTGCATCTTACCCTCTTCACATGCTATTTCAACTCTCAGTTTCCTGTTAGTCATAGCATCTGAATCAGCAATTATTACTTGTGTCTGCTTTCAAATCAAAACTGGAAACCCAATCAAACCTCCAGTTCTGGAGCGCATACACAAACAGATGTCATAACTCTGCTTTGAACTAAGCAGAAAGTGGAAAGTGATGCTGTGCACAAGAAGGAAAATAGAAGCATGTGAGCCTGGTTTGTTTCTACTCCTCTAAATCACTTTGGATGGTTGTTTGGTTGTATGTTAAGGTGCACATCGGAGTCTAATGAGACCTCTGTATCACCTTAATTCTCAGCACTGGCCAGCCAGACGACAATGTTGCCAGCAATTTCAAGACAAAACTGTCAACAAGAGGCAAATCCCTGGCAAATTGCTTGCATCAAACACCATCCTTAATACTGAGCCACTTGCTATATGAACCTAAGTTATCTAAACCTCCTCCTCAAGTCCAGTCCGATTAGGTCTGGGTACACTAGAAGGCAGTGGGCACACCTACTCCCTGCATTTAGTACAGTATAAACAGATTGAGTGCATACCATCTTGTTGCTCTGACAAACAGAGCTGAGAACACTGGGTCTACCTCTTGATGGGGTTTATTTTTTTTACATGGGACCACATCCTTTAGGGATTCTGAAGCACACCGTAATCCCTGCTGGTAATGATCCAGCCTTTACCATTAACATGCTCATGCATGACACAGGCCCACCTACGGACATGTTTTTGAAGACCTAAATTTCTTCCCATGTTACACTTACAGCAACATATTCAAATTCCTCCTGCTATGTCCATGCTGCTATAACCAATTTGCTAACTAGACATGCAAATGATTAAAAGCATAATTATATGCCAACTGTGTTTTGCATTACACAGAATTCATGTTTGAGACAGAGACCAGATTAAAGGAGTAAGAATTAACTGCTACTGTTTGCTGCTGCACTTTGAAGGTTTACATTTTTTAAAAAAAATTGGTCGCAAGCCACCTTGATTTAAATACAAAGTGATCAGGACACAAATCCAACTAACAGGAATAATACTGTCAACACACAACAAATAAAATGCTTAGGCAAGGGACAGTAGCACATCCTTTATATGCAGGAAGTCCCAATTCAATCCTTGGAACCTCTGGGTAAGGCTGGGAAAGACCCTTGTCTGGAAAGCAGCTGTCAGTTCATGTAGACCAAGCATGGAGAACCTCCGTCCCACGGCCTAATGAGACCTAGCCAGAGTCCCAATTTGACCCATGAGGGTTTTTCCCCCATGCCATGCCCTGTGCCAGGTGCAGGGCAGGTAAAGATGTAGCTGCAAAAACCTCAAAGTGTACTTCTGATCATAGCTTAAGGAAGCAGGGCACCTTTTGAAATTTGGAGCCAAATGCAAACCCTATTGGTATCAATTATACTCCAGAATTCTTGACAGGGAACTGTGAAGTGAAGCCACTGGCTGGATCCTATTCCCCATGCCTACTGAGCTTGACAGACCAATGGCCTGACTTGATATAAGGCAGCAGCCTATATTTATGTATGTGGAAGAATGTCCCAATTGTGAAGAAACAGTACATTCATTAGTGTGAGATGGGAACTGAAGCAGAGATGTCCAAAAGTCCCTGCAGCATAAGTATCTTGAGACATACACAAAGCAGTCAGCAGTGAAATGATACCCCATTATTTCAATCACTTTTCCTGACATTCATTATGTAGATCTGTTGCCAGTATAAACCTACATGAATACCTGAACTTCTGCCTCTCTAAACACTGTGTAAGTTCCACCCTGAACATTTAGATAAAGCCTGCAGTGCTTGAAGAACGCATTAAACCCAGCTAAAATATATAGTGAGGAAAATGTGTCTTACGTAAAGTCTTGGAGAAGGACTCTGGCAGGACAGAAGGGCACTTCAACATTGTTCTGTTTTTCTTTCCAGTCCAAAATGTTCATAGCATCTTCTTTTTTCACTAGGAAGCCATCACAGTTGCGGACAGCGGCTTCCAACAGTACCCGTATGGAGTAAGGCAGGATATCTGCACAAAGATAAAGTAACTGAATTGGTCAAGTAAATACTTTGGGACGGATTCACCTGTGTAGAGGCTACTCCCCAAATGTGTCTTTCCCCTCCCTTCTGGGTCTTCACATCTCTAAACTGAGCCTTTAAAATGATGTTGATAACTTTATCAAAATAGCACTACAGCTCAGTGCAAACTATTCTTAGTAGGAAAACTAAGCAAATCAAAATAGGGTACTCATTTGCACCAATCCCCCATGTAAGTGAGCTAGAACCCAACAATGCACTTTTATTCGTGATTAACAACATGCATAAACTGGTATATATCTAATGGACGCCAATTGGTGAAAGTAAATTAAACTAAACTCCTATATTTCAGGCTGTCCAGAGCTAGATGGAATTCTGGAAGTGGCGGTTAGTCTGTCAATTTCATTTGCTAGTCTTTGAGATAAAAGGGCTGCAGTTGGGGAAGGCTGAACTAGCGCAACAGGGTCTCAGTATCCTTGAGTGTCACAACCAAAGGCCAATAAATACTAGGTAACACTGAATAGTTTTCTTTATTGACAAAGATAAGCCAGCAAATGATGCTGCTTAGTTTGTAAGACAGATCTCCTTGATATTGTGCTTCTGGCCATTTTGTTGTGGCAAGAACACTAACTGACATCTTGAGAAGGCAAAGATTAGTACAGAGAAGTGTTCCTCTGATGGATATGGCTAAACCAAGGGACTTGGTCTCACGTGGCCGGTAAAATTTTACTGCTTCAAATCCACGATGTTAAGTCCAGCATGTGGCAATAAAAAGATTTCATAAAAGTCTGGGCATGGTGGGGAGAGAGAAAAAATGATAATGAGACTAAGAAGGGCTTGGATTAAAAATCTAGGCAGATTAAAAGCAATGGGCGAAATGTTAAGATGTTTCCCTTGGAGTGGCCAATATTTTAGATGCCGCTGCAGCACAGCTTTGTCTATTTTCCACCTTCAGGGAATTCTTCATGCACTGACTTGCCTGCTGGAATCCTGGTGCACCTGCTCATGAACTCTTTCACACAGCAGAAATCAGGTGGTAAAGCACATGCTTTGTACTCAAGAGGTTCAATCCCTGGCATCCCTACAGATCTACTGCCAGTCAGTGAAGACAATGCTGAGCTAGACGGCCCAACAGTTTGATGCTGTATAAGGCAGCTTCCTGGGTATTTATGATTCTGGGGCATGTTCTAACATGCAGGTGTTCACAAAGGGCATTTGTGAGGATTTTACAGCAACCACCTCAGGAGATAGCGGTTACTCCATTTAAAAATAATTCACAATGTAAAGTTGCAATAAAGTAGACTGACACAGCACTAACTAGCAAGTTTAACAGGTCCGCATACTATTTTTCCAGCTCCAGAGAGCACAAAGTGCTGCTGCAGGGCTCACCAGCTTCATTCAAATTAGTTGGGCTTTACAAGGCAGACAGCATGAATTCACTCTCATTAGGTGATTCATCCAAAGGCTAACCATGAATCGGCAAATGTGTTTTAGATTCAAACTGCCAAAGAACCTAACGTAAATTTTGTCCTTTTTGCAATTTCCTCCATTTAATTAAGAACATGGACTCTATGCAAGACTTTTTTAACTGAATCCCAAAGACTTTAATAATTATTTTCAACCTGATCAGTATCTACATACAGTTTGCCCACAAGCGACGCTCAACTTTCTATATTTATATAGCAAAACCTCAGAATGCATCAGAACAAAAGGAGTCAAATGCAAGATTTGGCATTGATGTTTTATTGTGTTTTTAATATTCTGTTGGGAGCCGTCCAGTGTGGCTGGGGAAACCCAGCCAGATGGGCGGGATATAAATAATAAATTTTATTATTAATTATTTATTATTATTATTATTATTATTATTGAAGGCATGTGATGCAACAACCTGACTGAAGCAAAACAGGCCTGGTCCATGCCTGGCGGGCAACTGGTTGGAAACCCTATGCACATGTAGTGAGTTCCGTAACGGAAGGCAGGATAAACATGGAAAACAAGTAATTTGAGCAATTAATACATTTTTTTACATTAATTACCAAAGAGAAAGCAGACAGAGAAGTCCCCCTCCCTTATAATACTAAAACCAGAGGTCATCCAATGAAGCTGAATGGTGGGCAGGGGTGCCAACTTGAATAAAATATTGGGGAGGGGGGTTCCAGGTAAGCTCCACCCCACATAATCTATCACAAGACACGGCACCCACCCCCATTTGAATGGCAATGCCCATTAACTTTGGGAGGCAGCTCCCTCAAATATTTTTTTGGGGGGGGGACAAAGGGTCCTCGACCCCTAGGAGTCGGTTCCTATGATGGTGGGGCAGAAAAAGACGCGAAGAACTTCACACAGTACATAGTAAAATGGAATTCGCTGCCACGTAATGTAGTGATGGGCACCAAGCAGGAAACCGCCAACCTCAGTACACCAGGTGCTGGGGAACACAAGTAAGGAGAGTGCTGTTGAGCTCATATATTGAGCTCATGTAAAACAACTGGTCAGAATCCTGAACATGGCCTCTTTTTATTGCTCTTACAAGTTTCCTTGCTCAATAATCAGGGTTCTCATGTGCCTTGAGCAGCAGCAACCAGCAACAATCAACACTCGAGGACAGCACCCCGGTGCCTGGTAGACCAGCCAGACTGCAACCTAATTGCCTGTTTTGACACATAACAGGGAACCTCCTGAAAGGTGACAGCAGGCGTTTGGCCAGTTGCTTAGAAACCCAGTGCTGGGCTGCTGGGTCTCTGTCACCTAGCTTCAGTTTGGCTCTTGCACTGTTCCGTGTCTTGCCTAACTTCCCTGTCTCTTTTCCCCGCAGCTGTTTCTGTGAGGGGGGGGGACATTGGAGACAAACCCTCCCCTGGGCACCTTGCTTATTCCTAACCCTAATTTTATCAAGAGTCTGCCTAGTCTGAATTCATGTTGATGGACTATGCTCTCTTGATCCTGATTGTCTTCTGGTAGCCAATACTGACCTAGAAGAGCCCATGGTAAGGCAGCTTGGTATGTTCATAAATCTGCTTTTCAAAGGCTATAAACAGCAGAAACTGTTTGTGTCCATGTTTTACACAAGATAACAGTTGCAGGCTAGCGACAGCCAGGCTGAACAAAGTGATAAAACTCTGGGAATACGTATTCTGCAGTAAATGTCAATGAACTCAGCAAGACTTACTTCTGAGTAAACATACATGGGATGGCTCTATAAAACTAAGGCAATTTTAGAGCTCTGCAAAGGTACATCAAGGAAAGCACTGCACTGTTTAATATTTGTTCAAAGTAAGGAAGAGATACTAGAGGCCTAGTAAGAAGAGTGGTTAAAAGTATTTTTTTATAAATATTTCGTATTTATTTCTATATTAAATTTCTATACAGTGGAATCTTGGGTTGCGAATGTGATCCGTGTGGGAGGCACATTTGCAGGAGGAAAATTCACAACCCGTAAAGTGTGATTTAGTGCTTCTGTGCGAGCGCCGAAACCCGGAAGTAACCTGTTCCGGTACTTCCGGGTTTGGCACGGTGCTCAACCCGAAAACACGTAACCTGAAGCGTCTGTAACCCGAGGTACCACTTACTGCCCTTCACCCGAGGATCACAGGGTGACTTACAGCATAAAAACTGCTTCAGTAATATGTCTATTTGATCCACCTTGGCTCATAGGTTTTGTTTGTTACTATGTTATGTAACAAATAAAACCTATGAACCAAGCAGTGGTGTGTAGTCAGTGGACTAGGGGGACTAGGCTAGTCCCCTAAATGTTCCGAGTAAATTGGAGTATTACGGTACTGTACAGTATTAAAGCCTGGCGCCTCCTTCCCGAAGTCCAGGAAGCTTCTGCCTGGTTTACGGAGGGAGGTGCGATGCTCACATGCGTGACAACCTGCTCCACATCACCCTTGCAAGCTGGTGCCTCTGGCCTTAACTGTTCCCCTAGGAAAAATTTTGCTGAACACCACTGGAACCGAGGTGGATCAAATAATACATATTACTGAAGCACTTCAGGTGAAACACTTTTGTTTTGTAAACTTCACCTTAACTCTGCTTGAGTTACGTGTCCCAACTGCAGTTACCATGGAAGCTATGACATCCATCTAGAATTTTAGCAATATGCAATAAGGTAACTAACTGTGGAACCCCAAGTATGTTTACTCAGAGGTAAGCCCCAATATGTTTCATGGACTTAATTCCTATTAGGTTTGTTTAGGATTACAGCCAAATTCTGCTCAATTGTTCTTGTTTCAGAAAATGACAGTTAAAGTAAAGGATTTGAGCTATTACACAGTGAGTGCTAATTTTAATAAAATTTTGCAAAAATGAATAATAATAATAATAATAATAATTTATTATTTATACCCCGCCCATCTGGCTGAGTTTCCCCAGCCACTCTGGGCGGCTCCCAATCAGTGTTAAAACAGTACAGCGTTACATATTAAAAACTTCCCTGAACAGGGCTGCCTTAAGATGTCTTCTGAATATCAGGTAATTATTTATCTCTTTGACATCTAATGGGAGGGCGTTCCACAGGGCGGGCGCCACTACCGAGAAGGCCCTCTGTCTGGTTCCCTGTAGCCTCACTTCTCACAATGACGGAACCGCCAGAAGGCCCTCGGCGCTGGATCTCAGTGTCCGGGCTGAATGATGGGGGTGGAGACGCTCCTTCAGGTATACAGGACCGAGGCCGTTTAGGGCTTTAAAGGTCAGCACCAACACTTTGAATCGTGCTCGGAAACGTACTGGGAGCCAATGCAGGTCTCTCAGAACCGGTGTTATATGGTCCCGGCGGCCACTCCCAGTCACCAGTCTAGCTGCCGCATTCTGGATTAATTGCAGTTTCCGGGTCATCTTCAAAGGTAGCCCCACGTAGAGCGCGTTGCAGTAGTCCAAGCGTGAGATAACTAGAGCATGCACCACTCTGGCGAGACAGTTCGCGGGTAGGTAGGGCCTGCGTACCAGGTGGAGCTGGTAGACAGCTGCCCTGGACACAGAGTTAACCTGCGCCTCCATGGACAGCTGTGAGTCCAAAATGACTCCCAGGCTACGCACCTGGTCCTTTAGGGGCACAGTTACCCCATTCAAGACCAGGGAATCCCCCACACCAACCCGCTCCCTGTCCCCCAAAAACAGTACTTCTGTCTTGTCAGGATTCAACCTCAGTCTGTTAGCCGCCATCCATCCTCCAACCGCCTCCAGGCACTCACACAGGGCCTTCACCGCCTTCACTGGTTCTGATTTAAAGGAGAGGTAGAGCTGGGTGTCATCTGCGTACTGATGAACACCCAGTCCAAACCCCCTGATGATCTCTCCCAGCGGCTTCATATAGATATTAAAAAGCATGGGGGAGAGGACAGAACCCTGAGGCACCCCACAAGTGAGAGCCCAGGGGTCTGAACACTCATCCCCCACCACCACTTTCTGGACACCGCCCAGGAGGAAGGAGCGGAACCACTGTATGACAGTGCCCCCAGCTCCCAACCCCTCTAGACGGTCCAGAAGGATGTTATGGTCGATGGTGTCAAAGGCCGCTGAGAGATCCAGCAGAACTAGGAAACAGCTCTCACCTTTGTCCCTAGCCCGCCGGAGATCATCAACCAGTGCGACCAAGGCAGTTTCAGTCCCATGGTGAGACCTGAATCCCGATTGGAAGGGATCCAAATGGTCCGTTTCCTCCAGGCGTGCTTGGAGTTGTTCAGCAACCACCCGCTCAATCACCTTGCCCAAGAATGGCAGATTTGAGACTGGGCGATAGTTGGCCAAATTGGCCGGGTCTAAAGATGTTTTTTTAAGAAGCGGTTTAATGACCGCCTCTTTCAGCGGGTCTGGGAAGGCTCCCTCACAGAGGGAAGCATTCACCACCCCGCAGAGCCCATCGCCCAGCCCTTCCCGGCTCGCTTTTATCAGCCAGGATGGGCAAGGATCAAGGAGACAGGTGGTCGGTTTCACTTTTCCAAGCAGCCTGTCCACATCCTCGGAGGTAACAGACTGGAATTGATCCCATGTAACAGGACCAGACAGAACTCTAGCACTCTCCCGCCCTGGCCCTGCTCCCACGGTGGAGTCTACCTCCTTCTGAATCTGAGCGATTTTATCTGCAAAAAAACTTTGCAAAAGCATTGCAGGAGATCTTGGGGTCCCTACCAGGCCCCGGTGGTACAGGTGGTGGGCGGGGGGCTTGGGAGTCATGGCTATTGGCCTTGTACGTGCCAGCAGCCCATCAATGGAACCAAACAATGCATACAAAAATGTTGCTTTCCCCTACCCCACTTGCAGGAAAGTTAACTATCTTCGCGCCATAACTAAGTTGTACTGTAACAGAGCTGTAAGGAACTTCAAAGAGATTGCTCTGATTTATGTGATTTTCAACTAACTCAGTGATAGCTCTTGTCCATTAAGGCTGAAATCCAATAATGAGTTAGATGAGTTTGAACACTTTGAAATCAGTGGACATAAGAATTCTGAACTCTACATTGTATTGAGCTTCATGTTATACTGGATAACAGAATTTGGCCTCGTCTCAGTTTGTTAGAAGCGTAAAACGTAGAAATAAATTCCTGAAAACAGCTAGTCTAGATTACAAATACGTGAAGCAAGGCCCAATCCTAACCCCACAAGGGAGTAAACTCCATTGGATTCAATACTGCTTGCTTCTGAGCAGGCAGGTTTAGGACTGTGCTATTTATGCAGTAGATGTAATCATCTCCATGGCAGTGCGATCAGCATGCAATAGTGTCTTATATCAAGCCATATATTTCAAACAGTTCTGAAGAAAACCAAAAGCGCATCCCAACCTATAGAAAATTAGCACTTAAATTTTATGTAATACAATATTGAAGGTATCACATTATTAATGAAGCCATATTAACAAAAAGACAATTAAGTGTTACCGTATTTGGTGCCTCCCAGTTTAGCAACATTGTAGAACTTCTTGTCTGTTCTGTCATTCAGTGGTTCAATTAAGTGCTGGTAAAGGCGCTCTGAAAGACAAGTCATACTGATGATTAATATAATATGTTGTTATAATATATATAACCGATAATAGCACAGATATGGAACAACAGAAGAAGGGAAGTAACTATTGACAATGACTTCTTACCAAAAGAAGGCAGGCATATATGATAAAAAACTACAGCTATAATTCTATTCACATTTACTCCTAGGTAAGCACAATTGATCTAGACTGCACAGGAATGCATATTAACCAGCAGTGTTAGAAACTCACATATATAAGCTAGGTGCTAAATGGCTCCTTAAGTCAACGTTGCAGTCACCAAAACGGAATGTCTGGTTGCCATTTTTGGGTAAGATGGCTCTAAAGTCTTATTTTTCAAATTACTGAATGGTTGTGACTGATTCTCAGTTACAGTATATAGTTCAGATGACAACCCTGAGCTAGGTAAAAAACTTTGAGAACTTAAAGAAGTCACTTTATCCAGGGACAGTCCATATATTGGCCTATTCCTACCTCTTTTTCTTATTCATAACGTAATAATATTCTTCACAACTGTGAGCAGGGCAGTGGGGTGGGGTAAGTGAAGACAAGCGGCAACAATTTCACTACTCCTGCACAGAAAAAGCATTTTGGTTCCTGAAATTCATTCTGATTGTACAGATAAAATAGAACTGATAGAATTCTACAGGGTGTGGTATCGGTGTGTGAAAACATTCAAGATCCAATGGCCCCCAGGCATGCACCTCTAGATGGTGGAGATGTCAGGTGCCATCCTGGCGCCCAGGCATCTTCACTTGGTTGCAAGTGGCCGAAAGCCACGTGCGAAATTGCCCTGGCTAATTTCACACACTGTTAACCAGGTAACAAAAATAGGATGAAAACTATAAGGGTGTAGTTCTAAGTGAGAAAACTTGAGTACTGTACAATTTGACTGACACACAAATCCGCAAACTGATTGGAATAATGCATGAGATGTGCTTTTCCTACTTAAGTATTTATACTGCATTTCCTCCCCAAGAATTGTTTGTAAGCTCCATTAATTTCAAGGGCCTGGTTCACACACAATACACTATGTGCACGAGCCTCAGAACCCATGCACTCCTCCAGTGTGGTCAGGAGGAAGACACTCAAAGCTTTTGCTTCAGTTGTCAACTGTAGTTGTATTCAAAACCGGAAAACCTGTATTTAGTATTAACTATAGTTTAGGGGCGCGGGTGGCGCTGTGGGTAAAACCTCAGCGCCTAGGACTTGCCGATTGCATGGTCGGCGGTTCGAATCCCCGCGGCGGGGTGCGCTCCCGTTGCTCGGTCCCAGTGCCTGCCAACCTAGCAATTCGAAAGCACCCCCGGGTGCAAGTAGATAAATAGGGACCGCTTACTGGCGGGAAGGTAAACGGCGTTTCCGTGTGCTGCGCTGGCTCGCCAGATGCAACTTGTCACGCTGGCCACGTGACCCGAAAGAGTCTGCGGACAGCGCTGGCTCCCGGCCTATAGAGTGAGATGAGCACACAACCCTAGAGTCTGGCAAGACTGGCCCGTACGGGCAGGGGTACCTTTACCTTTACCTATAGTTTAGGGAAACAAGTTAACTTTTAAAATGTGCTCTGTTTCCACCCCGCCCCGCCATTAGCAGTAACCACTGTTAGCGACCACTATTACTGACCACTCTTCTTCTCAGTTTGGATGAAATGAGGAACCATTCTGTTCCCTGCAAATAACTTGTGCTCATTCCCATAGCACTGAACAGTGGTTTTGTGCTATGTTTGAGTGCATTCTCAACATGCAAGTTTAGGAGTGCAGCTTTAAACAGCAAGATTGTTTTTACATCTTCTATTGTAGATACGTTATTCAAATAATTTACTCAAGTTGTACTGATTACAATTCTAAGGAATAAACAAAACAATTTAGAGTGGCTTTGCACAATTTACTGCCACTAATCTTTAGTGTGTAATAGATTAAATGTATTCTGTCTTCCAATCCTCTCTCAACCCTCCATTCTAATTATTCTATAGCTACATTTGGAAGCAGCAACATCTGGATGAATAAAAAAGCTCCACTGTGATTTAACTGAGGGGATTTTCCCCTGAAACAGGAATACAGTATTATTCAATCAGTCACAATTCAAAGGTCAGCATGCTTAGGCTACAATCCTAAATACAATGCACCTACAAGTAAGACCCACTGAACACAGTGAGATTTACTTCTAAAGAAACATGCAGGAATTGTGCTCTATTTAAGCCCTTTGATTTGAGTGGGTTGAATACCAATAGCAATGTACTTCATTGCTACTGTGCCATTTTACCATTCCCTGATTGTTTATATACCAGAATCCGTTTCAAAGAGGCTAAAAAGCTTTATACTACTGGCGACTAAATTAAGAGTTTGCAGAACTAGAGGTTATGACTAAGTGATTTTTTATTACATAACAAATATTTTGATTATAGCTTTAAGTGGTGTTTACATGCTTCATAATGGGCATATATATTTAAATTTCTTTACAAAAATAGCCATACAAGTCTGATCATACTTATAGAAAATATTGTTCCCATTAACATGCTTCATATTATTCATCATATTTGAGTGGCCTCAAGCAGTTTTTTGGGGGGAAATGTAAGGGTTAAGGCACAAGGTATACCTTCTTTTTTAAAAGTTATTTGAAGAAGCATAAACAAAATATATTTCTCTTTGAAGCTTTGAGCTGCAGATTCCTCACGCTAGTAAACTGTGGCATTCTGAAAAATGCAGGAGGGTTGTGCCCATATCTACTAGCATTGCTACTATTCATAATTGGCCTAACAGTTTTCAAGCTTTAGTAACCCAAGCCCTTTAAAAAAAAAATCACCATTCCTCATAGTATGCTGACATGCACTGAATCCAAGGGAAAAGTTCCTGGCCATTTTGCAAGCTGGACTCATTGTCTGGCGAGGCCATTTTGCTGGTGGAGGCTTTTGCTCTTAACATGAAATACTTTTCAGTAAAGAGAATCATTCCCCAACTTGATCTTTACATCACTTGCATTTTCTATGGTGTTTGAGCATGCCCATCTCCTGCCATCAACTGACAGCTTTTGCTGGGGGACAGAGGAATGCAAATATGTAGGGGAAATTAAAAGAAGCAGGAGCAAGAGCACAGACCAGCTCCTAAATTTCCCTTTTACATACTAATCTGCACCTGTCAAGCCATAATAATAATAATAATAATAATAATAATTTAAAATAACCAGGCTCTTCTGGCTGAGCAGCAAGGAGTGCAAAAAATAATAGAAAAAAATAAACACAACATAGAGAGCATGAAAACTGTTACATGAGTCACAGAGGACAATTTTGTTTCATTTTCTCAAAGGCGTAACACAAAAATCCTATCACGTTTATACCAAAGAACATGGCCTACTTCTCACTTGAAAGAGGATGCATCTCAGACCTGTGTCAGTGCTGCGTGTGTGTGTGTGCAGACTGACATTAAAAAAAATATATGAAGCAGCATTCAGTTAACTCCCTGCGCACAGATAACTAGTGTGTCACAGCAAAGACAAGTTTCTTGACCCACTAGCTTTCTTTAAAAACAACTCCCTACACATAGAAAACCAGGAGTGTGACATGGCAGCTCCACCCCCCCTTACAGCACTCGTGCACAAATGGAAAAGTAGTTTATTTAGTGTACACAAAGCCAGAGGACCAGAGGGCGTGTGTTTCTCTCCAGAACGATAGCCTTCAGTGAGTAGAATATATTTGTTTTTAAATAGGGCGGAATGTTCACCCCCCCCCGCAATCCCTGCCACAAACACCGCCGCCCCCCCCAACCTGAATAGGCACAGTCATGACGGAGATGAACCTCCCCACCCCACGAAAACAAGGCCTCTCCTATTCCCCCACATTAGGCGCCCAGAGGCGCAGTAAAAATATTTAACCCCACCCCATTCTTTGACCCCCCCCCCGCAACCTGAAGTGGCCCAGCCCTGACAGAGGTCAGCAGCCCCGCCCCCGCCGCTCCCTTTACACGGGGCTGGGGAGAGAAGATGGCCGACAGACCCCGGCCCCTCTGATGACGGGGGGCTGGCGGAGGGGGGGGAGGCAAGCACAAAGGAAAAGGGGCGGAAAAGACCCGGGGGGGGCTCTGAGGGGGAGGTGAAATGAGGCCTGAGGGGGGGGCGGCAGGAGAAGGAATGCGCTTGAGGAGGGCAGAGGGGCCCCGGGGTCCTTCCCTCCCTCCGCCCGTCCGCCTCCCCTTCACACTGACCTGGCCCGGCCGGCTCCATGTCACTCCCTCCCGAGAAAGGCGGCGGCGGCGGCGGCGGCCAGGGAGGGGGGCGCGAGGGGCCAAGTGCCCGGGAGGGGCGGAGTCTTCCCTCAAACGCCGCGAGAGGTTGAGCGCGGCGAGGAGATAACAGGCTCGCCTCGGCCCCGCCCTCTCGTCGCGGTGTGTTGGGGGGGGGCTCTCGCGAGAGCTCGGCCGCCGGCAAGAAAGGAAAGCGGCCGGGAATCTCGCGAGGCTCTACTGCGGGGAAGGAATAGCGGCGCTGGCCAGCGGGCCGGCCGCAGCTCTCGCGACACTTGAGCCCCGCCGTGTTTGTCGAGGGAGGGCAAAGGGGCCGCGTGGGCTGCAGTTGTGGGCGTGGCTGCCGGGGCCCAGGCGGAGGGAGGAGCGGGGCTTCCTTACCAGACCTCGGGTGGGGGCCGCTGGGGCTGGCCGCTGAGCCCCTCCGGAGGCAGCCCCTGGGCGGCAGGGGGCAGGGCTTGCTTGGGGCTGGGCTTCTTCCATGAACAAGCCCCTGCCATGTTCGAGGCGGCTTCCCCTGGTCCTAGCGAAAGTGGCTGCCCACAAAAGGGGAGTCCCTATGATTTGCACAGGCTCATATGATGAAAATGATGTATAGGTTGTCAGCATCGCCCTTGAGCCAGTGTCACCAACTGGACTCATCCACTTCAGCCTCGACTGGGCCAGGCGAGCTGGGTAGCACTTCCAGAGACCACCTTCTGCACAGGAACAGGTCAAAGTGCTGTGGACTCACAGCTTAGAGTTGTGAGCACTGGATTCACTTCCGCAAGAAGACAGTCGTCACACAGCAGAGTTTAGCAGAGTATACAGTGGTGCCTCGCAAGATGAAAATAATCCGTTCCGCGAGTCTCTTCGTCTAGCGGTTTTTTCGTCTTGCGAAGCAACCCTATTAGCGGATTAGCAGCTATTAAAGGCTTAGCGGCTAAACGGCTATTAGCGGCTTAGCGGCTGTTAAAGGCTTAGCGGCTAAAAGGCTATTAGCAGCTTAGTGGCTATTAAAGGCTTAGCGGCTAAAAGGCTATTAGCGGCTTAGAAAAAGGGGGGGGAAAGCGAAAAAAATCGCAAGACTCGCAAGACGTTTCCGTCTTGCGAAGCAAGCCCATAGGGAAAATCGTCTTGCGAAGCGCATCGAAAAACGGAAAACCCTTTCGTCTAGCGGGTTTTTCGTCTTGCGGGGCACCACTGTATAAACAACTCGGAGAGCAGCTCTGTAGAATATCTTCTTTATCCTATAACTACAACTATAATACAACTATATACAGAGCTAAATAGGTCTAAGCATAAATGAATGCTGAACCGCACTGAGTGTCTGCAGCTACTCTTAGCAGCAACCTTATCTAAACACACAATCTCTCTCTAACACTCTCTCCGACACACTGACTGACTGACTCTTTGATGTGGTGCTGGTGCAGAATAAGTAGAGAGCAGAACACGCCACCTCCTCTCTGGAGAATCAGCAGAGACATCAGCAGATTCTTGGATATGGGAGGGGTGAAATCTCTTCATAGATAGTATATTACACCAGTGAAATTAGCTAAAATGTATATGACAAATAATAAATGTTGGAAATGTAAAGAAAAAGAAGGAACATTTTATCATATGCCGTGGGAATGTAAAAAAGTAAAGAACTTCTGGGAAATGCTATATAACAAGAAGAAAAAGATGTTGAAATATACATTTTTTTAAAAAACCAGGAGCATTTTTACTTGGTATTATAGGTCAGGACATTAATAGGCAAGATGTTAAATTGTTTTTATGTGCAACAAGTACGACAAGAGTATTGTTAGCCCAGAAATGGAAACAAGAAGAAATTCCGCTGAAAGAAGAATGGCAGACGAAATTAATGGACTATGCAGAATTGGACAAAATGACAAGAAGGATTCAAAACCTGCGGGAACAGAGATTTACAGAAGATTGGAAGAAGTATATGAATTATTTGAAGAGCAACTGTAATCAACAAATTAGGCTAGTAGGACTACAAGAAGTTTTGTAAGGAGAAATATGCGAAGTGTTGCAAAGTAGAAAAGATAGAGATATTGGTTATGAGTTTGAAATGTAATAGGGAAGATAAGAAATGCATATTGAGAGATTAGATTGGAAAATTTTCAGATAGGAATGATGGAAGTCAAAAATTTTGAATAAGATGTAAAAGTATGTTTAATTACTGTTGAAAATGATATGTTAAAAAACTAATAAAAATTACACACACACACATATATATATATATGATTTGCACATCCACAGATGTTCCCTCGCCTCAGCTTTACATCTGCGTAGAAATGAAGTCACATTCTCGGAGGGAAAGGACCCCCAGGGTCCGATTCACCCAGAATGAACAGGGCGCCTGCTTTCTCTCAAGCTAACTCAAGGCCGAATTCCCCCTGCACGTACCTTGACATACCATCTTGAGTTAGCAGAGTCTCCTAACGGTATACTTTCTCATGCACTCTTTTTTTCATCTCTTCCTAATAAAGGCCTATCAAAGCATATGGTATAATTCCCACCAACTCCCCTCGCTGAAGACTTCACAGGTTGTGTCGTGAGCCTAGGACGCTGACAGGGAGCTGAGAGAAAGAGGGATCTACAAGCAGACATCATGCATGCTCAGACCTTTAAGGCACTTGCTGATGTCTCCCTGCCCTGTGGCATTGGTTTGAATGGGCAGCAAGTAGGTGTCAGGCTGAGCAGCGGCCAGGTGCTGAAGGGCTGAGCTGGGTGTGGCAGCCACATGGATCTCCGAAGCTCACCTTCTGCCCTTGGGTGTGGTAGACGATGTTGCTCCCTTTGCACTAGTAAGATTTAGCTGCCAGGCTGGTTGGGTTCCTGCCCCTTCCATGTGCCTTTTTCATTCATGAGATTGGGTGGGGAGCTGAATGTGGCTCATCAGGCCCCCTTTTGGGCCCACTGGATCCTCCCCAGGCCACCCTCCTCACTGGTCCTGCTCCACACTCTCCTTCAGTGCTCCTCAGGAGAGATGTGTCCTTGAACTTTGAAGATGCCTCTTGCATGCCTGGGCAGAGATGGGTGTGTGAGTGTGTATAGAAAGTACCTTGCTGTAGAAAGGTAAAATCTGCATTCATTGTTCCGCCCGCTTTTGCCTCTGTACTGCTGGCATATGGCCCCAGAAGGTCGCCTAAAGAAGGTGTTCTGCTTCCGTGTTAGAGGCACTGGTGTGGTGTTTGTTGGGCTAGGAGCAGTCAAGCCTTGGTTAAATTTCAATTCTAACCATGAACCTCAGTGGGTAACATAGAGCAAGGCACTACCTCTCAGACATGCCTACCTTGTAGGGTTGCTGTGAGAAATAAGGCAAGAAGGATAAATAACTGTACAGTACGCCACCCTGAGCCCCCTTGGAAGAAGGTGATAAACAAGTTACCACTGTTGCACAGGAGCAATGTATTTTTAAACTAATTGTTACATTGTAAGCCACTGTTGGGCCATCTCACTGTGGACCAGAAGTTGGGGGGGGCCGACATATTTTTTTATAAATAAATGCATTTTTGAAAAGGGGAGGGAAGAGCCTTGTCCTTTTAGAACAGCAAGCACACAGGGCTCTGTGTAATTTTGTATGGTCTTTTTCTCTGAAAAAAAATATTTGGTGGTCAAAGCCTAACTATGTTAGACTTTGCCCTTTGGTGCTAACAGTGGGGGCAGGGGGCTGTGACTGTCTCGCTCACAGCAAGGCTGCCCAACTCTCTTACACATTCTGTGCAGATTCTATTGCACTGTCTTGCAAAAAAATCAGTCGTGTATCTTTCACCGGATAAGCGCTTTCCACATCCGGTAAAGATGTACTGTACACGTTGGGGCTCAGAGGAAAACGCAGTGCTCTCCTTTTGGCCACCAAGGGCATAAACTTCGCTACTGTGGAAAGTGAAACTGAGGGGCAGGGCGGAGACTTCCATTTCCTTCATACGCCTGCGCCTTAAAAAAAAGACAACTCCGCTTTCCTGGAACCCGAGAGTCGCGCATTCGGGAGCCCAGGAGAGGCGGAACCATTGTGCTCAGTTGTGTTGTGCAGCGGAGATATTTACGTGCCGTACCGAAGGGATTAATTTTTGCGTTTGGAGAGCCATGGCGGGGTCCGGGGCAGAGCTAAAACCTGCCGTACTGAAGCACCGGCGAACTACACTCGAACGGGTCGAAAAGTTTATCTCCGAGATATACTTCACGGACTGCAACCTCCGGGGCAGGTGGGCTTGTGTTGGTCCGACACCTAAAGCCTTCCCCATTCTCCCCACCTGGCTTCCTTCTTCACGCAGCGCAGCGTTAAACTACGGAACTCCCTCCCACAGGAGGCAGTGATGGCCACCAATTTGGATGGCTTACCGTCGCAGTTTCATGGTGGAGAGGGCTATGGATGCGATGGCTGTGCTCTTGCCTCCACAATTGGAGCAAATAACACTTGTGAATATCAGTTTCTGGAAACCGCAGGGGCGGGGAAAAGTGCTTTTGTGCTCTAGTCCATGGGCGTAGCCGGGGGGGGGGCAGAAGGTGGCAACTGCTCTCCCAAATCAATTAAAATAAATAAAAATGCATAGCTAACTGAACCCCCCCCAACAAAAGGCCTGCCCCCTCCTAACAAAAATAATGGCTATGCCCATGCTCAGGTCCTGCTTCCGGTTTTCCCACTGGGGCATCTAATTGCCCCCCTGTGAGAATAGGATGCTGGACTAGATGGGCCATTCCATTCAGCTATTCCACCTGGCCTTCAATTTGAATTAGCCTGATCCTCTGTTCCCATTTCCCTTTCCTTTTCTGTGAAGAAACCCTTCTGGGACCCCACTTTTAATCTCTTCCCCGGTCTCCTTGCTGGCCCTAGTAGGACCAACTTGGCCAGTTAGCCCTGGTGATCATTTGATAGACGACTGGGTTCCCCCCCCCCAAAAAATAATAATAATTAACCCCTGAATTTTTGAATTTTATTGACATTGATGCTGCATTGATGCTGTTTTAATGCTCTTTTAAAGTCGCATTTTAACCAATGTTTTATATTTGCCGTTAGCTGCCATGAGCCCGGTTTTTAAACCAGGAAGGGCGGGGTATAAATAAAAATAAATTTACTTACTTACCGGATCCAGCAGACTCTTCTCATGGTTCTTACATTCTTAAGAACACACAGTCTGGCCTGCATGGGGGATTTGATGCGACCATATTTGTTTTTAGAAGGTGGTTGTGGCCATGTTGGGTCACATGTTGGGATAACACGATATAAGTACTGTGCAGTTTAAGAGCCTTTCGAGAGCCCTGTCTTTTGCTGTTAGAGGCTACATGAGACTTCCAAGTTTCAAAGTGGCCCCTGTAGCCCCATCCTCTTAATCATAGAATTGTGGAGTTGGAAGTGACCCTGATGGTCATCTAGATCAATCCCCTGCAATGTCTCAACTAAAGCATTCCCGGGTTTGGACAGTTTGATCTCCAGCCATTTTAACTGTTTGCTGTGAAACATGCCATCTGATTTTTACTTCCACAGTTGGAGTCAATGCTGCTTCTGAATACAGTGGTACCTCGGGTTAAGAACTTAATTCGTTCTGGAGGTCCGTTCTTAAAAGGTACCACTTTAGCTAATGGGGCCTCCCCCCGCCGCTGCCGTGCGATTTCTGTTCTCATCCTGAAGCAAAGTTGTCAAGCATCTTTTTCTCCACAGTGGCCCACCAGATTTATTTTATTTATTTATAATTATACTTGTACAGTGGTACCTCAAGTTACAGACGCTTCAGGTTACAGACTCCGCTAACCCAGAAATAGTACCTCAGGTTAAGAACTTTGCTTCAGGATGAGAACAGAAATTGCACGGTGGCGGCACAGTGGCAGCAGGAGGCTCCATTAGCTAAAGTGGTGCTTCAGGTTAAGAACAGTTTCATGTTAAGAACGGACCTCCGGAACGAATTAAGTTCTTAACCCAAGGTACCACTGTATACTGCAATTTCATAAAAGAATATCAAAGAGCTGGTGACACTGAGGTGTGTGTTTGACTGCAGGTTGTTTGGTGCTTCCTGCCCGTTGGCATCTCTCTCTTGCTTTGAAACCTCACAGCGGATTCCATATGAAGAAGCTGTCAGACAAGAATTTAGGCTTGTGAAAGTTGGAGACTGTTTTGGAAGCACGTAAGTATTCCCTTAGAGGCTAATGAATTAAAGGGACATATAAACTATCCTTTCTTTATGTGCCTCCTCCATAAGATGTCCGGAAGATGATTGCATGAGAATGGCCTTTTCTTCAGTGGCTCCCCATTTGTAGAATGCTTTCCCCAGGGAGGTTCGTCCAGCACCTTCATTATAAATCTTTAGGCACCAGATGAAAACATTCCTCTTCAACCAGGCCTTGGGCTGATTAATATTCTATGGCCTTTTTAATGTGTTTGTGGGACAAGGGGGTATTGTTTTGTTTTAACTATTTATTTTGTGCTTTTATCCTGTATTTTTATCTTGTAAACCGCCCCAAGATCTTTGGGTGAAGGATGATATATAAATTAATAAAATAAAAATATAATAGAAACACAGGAAGATGCCTTATACTAGTCAGACCATTGGTCTGCCTTGCTCAGTCTTGTCTACACTGACAGTGGCTCCCCAGAGTTTTGAGCAGGGAATTTTCCCCAGCCCTACATTCTTGAGTCACAGCTACGGAAATCTATGGGACAAAGCAAACTTGAGCGGAGTGCCATTACATCACATCAGGCTGAATGCCCCATCTTTTTCCTAGGCCCTCATAAGTAACATCAATGGTGTGCGCTTTGGTTGAGCCAGGGTTTTCAGGGCCCTTTTCTGATTGAAGCGTTGGGCGAACACTAATACATTTCTTGCCATCCTAGTGAGATAGTTATCCTGTGGAAATTAGAAGTATTGTTTGTATTTGTTTATTTTTAAAAAGTCACCTGAAATTGTGCATGTCACTTCCCTAAGATGGCAGACCTGCTGGTTCAAAGTAGATCTCAGCATCCCCAGGGAATGGACAGGAAAGGAAGTCCACCTTCTTTGGGAAAGCGAAGGAGAGGGAATGATTTGGAGGGATGGCCAGCCTGTGCAGGTAAGCGACAACCTCATCTGGATGTGCAGAGGGCTGATCAGCTAGCGCTCATGACCATATCAAAGTCATGCATCCTGCCCCCTTGCCCAGAGTAGAATTAAAATAGATAGATGCGCTCCTTTTAAATGGTGCTGAATTTAACTAGAGATGAAACAAGCCAGGCACGTGATTTTCTTTCTTTCTCTCTTTCTCTTTCTCTCTCTCTCTGAAAAAACAAAGCTAAGTTCTTTGTTGGTGGGAGTTGGCAATGTCCACAAAGGGTTCAGAGTCTAGTATATATGTCAGGGTGTGTGAAGGGAGAAGCAGCAGATCTTGCCATGCAACTGAAAAGCCCTCACTGGCTCTTGCAAGGAGGTAGTGTACACCTTTGTGCAGCATTCAATTGTCAATAGTTAGTGACAAGTCAATGATTGTGTTGGCACGTTATGCCCCATGTTCCGTTTTAACCTTTTACAAAAAGATTTAAAAAACTAAATGGCTCAAATTCAAATACTGATCAACAGTAACATCTAGACCATGGGAGCATTTCAGCCCTGTTCTTGAGTTTGTTTAAAATCGAAAACAGCTTATCTTATCTTGTATTCCTTTCTCTAAATTTGTGCCATTAAGATTTTTAAACCTTTTTGTAAACGCAGCACTAGAATTTTCACAGTTGAGTCCTCAATCCTGTATTACTGCGCTTTGCTTTACCTAGGTTGAGCTAGGATTATAATACTTCAGAATTTTGGGGGGTTCTACCCCTGTATTTGAATTTTGGTCATTTAAAGTTTATGATTTTTCTATTTCCTTCCGAGGAAACTGAATAGTTCAGTGAAACGAGGTTTGTAGCCGGCATCCCATTAAGGCTTTGTTCAATTTTAGGTTTTCCTTAAGCATTTTGATTTTTATTATTTCGTTTATTTCCACAAGATAATATTTCTAGTCGATTACTTCTCATTTCAGGGATTTTCACTGTATTTCATTTGTTTTGTACATGTTCTGTTTTAGGCAGTGTTGTAAGCTATTGTGTTACATTTAAGTGGTTACCTCTGATCCCCTCTCTCCCACCCCCCAAAATCTGACAGGGTTTGACGCGGGAAGGTGAGAAGACCAGCTACATTCTGACAGATAATCTAAAGGAGACGGACCCCCACAGGTGAGCAAGGAAGCCCTCTTAGCCATTCAGAGAGTTACTCTTTTGTTTTTCTAGGAAAGTCAGGTTGCCTATTTTGTCCATTTTCGTTCATTTAAAAAAGAAGTCAAGACCGTGTTGGCTGAGGGTGAAGAATGTTGGAAGGCACTGTGTTTGCTACCCCTGGATTAAACAGTTAGATGGCTGATGAGATTGCTGACATTTTTCCCTTCCCTAGCTTGACCCTGTATGTGGAGCTTGCCTGCAACGGTCTGTTTGGAGCTGGGAAAGGCAGCATGATTGCACCACCTGATCCTGACAAGAAGTTCTCCCTGCAGAAGGCAGAGCTGGTGGTCTTCAACAGGGATGTCCATGAACTTCTGGTAGACTTTGAGATTCTTCTGGACATGGCTAAGGTACAGCTTATGCTTCCTGGTTTTGTCTTCAAATGCTGACTGTGCACTAGAGGAAGTCGCCTCCCCCATTGCCTAATTCAGTTGTTCCTAAACTTTTTTGGGGCCACCGCTCCCTACTATACCCTATAAAAAGCATTATTCAGAATAGCACTTTGCATGACCTGCTAAGGAGGATAGGAATGCAATAAAATTCGGAACAGTAGCAATCAATTGCACATTTATTCAAATCCAATTCAAACTATTAGTTTAATTAATTCAACAAAAATGACAAAATTGATCAAGAGACACCAGCTTTGCAATGTCTGACAATCATTTGCACCTCTAGCAGCCTCCTGCTGGTCCCTTGCCTCTTAGCAAACCCCCCCCCCAATCCCACTGCTACCCCCGGGAAAGGGGTAGCCCATCCCGTTTCGTTGCCTGAGGCAAAGCAGGAAGGTGCTGCCTTGTGTGTGTGCCCCACACCCTCCCCCCTTGCTGCCTCCGCTGAAGCATCAGTGGGGTGGGCTCAGTTCCTCTGTCTGCTTCATGGATGGGCCAGCCCTGACCAGTACTGCCTACTCTGGGAACCATTGCTCTAATCAATTAGAGGTTTGTGAATGCCCCAAGCAACTGTGGGCATCTTGGGTCCATTCAGCTCAGGATGGTCTCTGAAGACTGGAGGTGGCTCTCCAGGGTTTCAGTCAAGGTACATTCCTAGCCCTACCTGCCAAGGATTGAATCTGGGACCTTCTGCATGCAAAACACTTGCTTTCTCCATATTTTGTGAATTCACACATCAGCTTGGATTGAGTCTGTGTGCATATGCTTGCTTGCACACAAGTCCCACTGTTTGCTTCTTAACATACTGAGCCATAAACTTAGAAAATAGTACATTGTGGTTTGGCATCTTTAGGCAGCCTGCACTAAGTGTCAGAATATGGCAAGTGCTGCTGCCTTTATTTGGGACTTGGTTTCCCTGAACAGCTTAGGTCCAGGGTACCTCAGGCCTGAACCTTTATATCTCAGCTCAGTCACTGAGATAATCTTTAGGAGCTTCCTTGCTCTTTCTCCAAGTTGGCAAAGCTTGTTTGACAACAGTGAGAAACCAAGCTTTTAGTGTCACCTGCCCCATCCTGTGGAACACCCTACCAATAAGAAATTTAGTGGGTGTCTTCTGTGTCAACTTTTAAATGCCTGCTGATTTTTTTAAAATTTTGCCAGGCCTACGCAGGCAATTAAGAATACTTCTCCCACAATGGTTTGTTGATGCTTACCTTTAGCCTTTCTTTTTTGTTGCTGTCCCAGAAACTCCAGTGGGTGCAGAATGCTGCAGCGAGGCTCCTCACGGGGTCTCTGCCATGGGAGCATATTCACCCAGTGCTTTTTCAGCTGCACTGGCTCCCGGTGGAGTACAGGGTCAGATTTAAGGTGCTGGGTTTGACCTTTAAAGCCCTTCATGGCCTAGGACCCTCGTACCTATGGGACCGCCTCTCCTGGTATTCTCCACGGAGGACCTTAAGGTCCATAAATAGCAACACCCTAGAGGTCCCGGGCCCTAAGGAAGTCAGATTAGCCTCAACCAGAGCCAGGGCCTTCTCAACACTGGCTCCAGCCTGGTGGAACACTGTGTCTCATGAGACCAGGGCCCTGCAGGATCTGATTTCTTTCCGCAGGGCCTGTAAGACAGAGTTGTTCCACCTGGCCTTTGGCTTGGAATTAACTTGATCCCTTCCCCCTCTTTCTTTTTTTCCTTTCTCCTTCTATGATGAAACTCCTATCTGGGGACTTCCCTGGCTCTTTTCTGGCCCACGTAGGACCAGTCAGGATAGTTAGCCTTGGTGAGACTTGACGTTTTCATCCCCCCAAAAGTTTTTGATTTGAGTTTCTACTGAAAGGAGGCTGCATTTTAATGTTGGATTTTATTCTTGTTTTTATATCTCTTTTCAATAAAAAAAACAATAAAAACAAACAATTGTTTTTATATCTAGTGTTAGCCGCCCTGAGCCCGGTCTTGGCTGGAGAGGGCGGGGTATAAATAAAAATTATTATTATTATTATTGCTTTTAACTTAAAATATTTTTTGTGCTTTTATTGTATGGTTTTTACCACTTCTTGTTGTAAACTGCATTAATATGTTTTGTGATTTAGTGGTATATACAAAACAAATACCTAACAGTTCCTTGGTTTGGGTTGTGTGGACCACATATTTTGCCAGCACATGGTTAACGTTTTCCTGTTGCGCAGCTTCTTGGGGAGGAAAACCAGCGGAGCTTCCAGGCACTTTACACAGCCAATCGGATGGTTAACCTGTGCGATGTTGCCAACCCATCGACTTTTGCTGCAGTTCATGAACTTGCCTGCTCCGTCTTCGGTCAAAAGAATGGAGAGAGTCAGCATGTCATCCATGCAATGGGCCATTGCCACATTGATTCCGGTAACAAGAAGTGCATTTTGGCACAGCGTTGTAGGGAAGGCACCAGCAATAGTGGCTGGGTTGGGTGGTGGCGGGTGGTTGTTCTGAACCGCAGACCCAACAGAGGGCTTGTGGGAGAGGTGGGATGCAGGGATACCAAATAAGGATGCCAAAAACATCAAAATGACCGGTTCTAGGTAAAGGTAAAGGGACCCCTGACCATTAGGTCCAGTTGTGGGCGACTCTGGGGTTGTGGGCGCTCATCTCGCTTTATTGGCCGAGGGAGCTGGCGTACAGCTTCCGGGTCATGTGGCCAGCATGACTCAGCCGTTTCTGGCGAACCAGAAACGCCGTTTACCTTCCCGCTGGAGTGGTACCTATTTATCTACTTGCACTTTGACGTGCTTTCGAACTACTAGGTGGGCAGGAGCAGGGACTGAGCAACGAGAGCTCACCCCGTCGTGGGGATTCGAACCGCTGACCTTCTGATCGGCAAGTCCTAGGCTCTGTGGTTTAACCCACAGCGCCACCTGCGTCCCTATGACCGGTTCTAGTGCTTTACTAAAGAAAGGTGTAGACTTACAGCACAGCAGCAGCCTGCCAGATCTCTTAGCCTTTCAGTCGCCAGACGGACATGGCAGCAGGGAGATGGTTTGTCCACACCCAAGCAAACGTGCAAACAGTCTTTATACACATAGCAGCATACGTCACTTTGTCTAGGACTTCCCACCTCTTCACCTGCTCAGATTAGGGCATAGAAGGCAAATACCCAAATCTTACAGAGAGTTTCCCTTTCTGGGTTCAGAGCCCAGCACCCGAAGCCCGCAGATAAGGATAACATCAAAGCAAGCCAATTAGCTTATATTGAAGTCAGTGAATATAAACATATATGAGCTCATTGCTACAACAACTCCCAATGGCACCCGCAAAGCTTCTGGAATAGTTCTGCTTTGGTTCAGCACAGCGGGACAGAGGTGGGCTGCCCCTCTTTCTTCTTTCCCCACCCCCAGGTGCCACTGCTGGTGAGGTAGAGGGAGAGGGGCAAAGGAGTGGGCAGCTTGGCACCGTGTGACTGCGGTGTCCACAGTGTTGGTTAGGGCATGCCAGTTTAGGGGCTGAAACTTAATTTCTTGCAAATTTCTTCAGGGATGCGCTTAAAAATGTGTTTTGGGGTGTGGGGAATTCAAACCTACTATTTTTGTGATTGGACAACATGTTTATGTGTGTGTCTATGTTTGACAAAGGAGCACATAAACTGCTTTTGGAAAGCCAAAGAATTTTAATTTTACCTTCTGAACATGTCAGGTAATGCTGAAATAAATAAATAAAATATTAATATATAATGTAACAGCAAGTCCTTGGCAATCATTTTTAATGAATTCTATGCAATTTTACTTACTAAGCAGAACTAAATTAAATTAATTTAACCAAAATATATATTTTGAATTTCCAAGTCAACTTCCAACTTTTTAGCACCCCCTCATTTTTGGAATGTGAAAGTTGAGCTCCCTGCTGCCTTGGCCAGAGTTGGGTGGTGTTGGCGAGGCAGGAGATCGAAGCAACGCCCCCTGTGCTGCCCGGACGACAGCTACTGGATAACTGGGCACATCTGGTGCCATTTGACAAAACGTGTGTGTGATGAGGTGGCAGGTTCACATTGTGGAAAGGGTGTTTCAACCTCGGACGTTTGTGTGGGAGAGAGACACCTGCCAGATGCAATGAACTGCAAATCAGGCCAGTCTGTTTATGCTTCCCCTTGCATGGCTCTTTTCCCAAGAGTTAGGTCTTTGCTTTTTGTTTTTTTTTTAAATGGAATTAATTGGCAAGGACTGGATGGGGGAGGAATGGATGGAGGGGGCAGAGTTGAAGGCCACAGAATAATGAAAGCTATGAACAGCTGCAAAGAGAATGTTGTAGAATCTCGAAAATGGTCAGGCTAGAAAACTGGAGACGGTCTAACTGCAGTTTTTGTACAACTCCAATTTCATGTGCCCTGATATTTTTGTTCCTGTCTATATACTTCGACTTTTCTGCACAATCTTTTATTTTTCTTTTGGCATCATTAAAAGTGCATTTGTTTTTTCCCACTTGCTGCACACAGCGTGCATTTCTTCCTTCAAGGCCTCATTTCTGTAATGGCATAATTGCTGCACATTTCTGTCTCCATGAAAGCTTGTGCTGACCTCAGAATCCGGGTTTTCTGGCTGCAGAATTTAGCACCTTCATTATATATCTATCTAGTCATGCATGCGACTGACAAGATTCTGATTTCTTCTGAATGCCATGTGAGAGGCTTATTTCCTGTCTCTTCTGCTATGGGGCCGGGCAAGCTAGGATTGTGACCGCCATAGGCCACGTGGGCATCATAAATGAATAAACCAGCTCCTGCTTGCAATTGTCCTCTTAGCTTGGCTGTGGCCTTATGATGAGACGATCCGTAAATGTGCTCGCAGTTGGGTGACTGTCATACGCCTGATGGAGAAGAACCCGGAGTTCACCTTTGTTTGCTCACAGGTATTATTAATATGTCTATGTACGGGAAAGGATCTAGTTTAGGTCAAGGGCTGTGTTCCCTCGTGGGTCAGCTTCTGGGGACCACATACCAGTGGTGATCAGAGCCAAAGCCACATACGGGCCCCACTCACACATCTCCAGCCACAGCTTCCCAGCAGCAATGCGGATTACGACTGTCCTGTTTGCATGAATGGGATTCTTCCCCTGCTCACTTTAGCCCGATTGCCTTGTGTTTGGTGGGGCTGAGGCACAGAGGCTGCAGGCTGGATCCAAGGAGCTAGTGATCAAACGCCCATGTTTTAGTTGATTAAATACAGTGGTACCTTGGTTTAAGGGACGCGGGTGGCGCTGTGGGTTAAACCACAGAGCCTAGGACTTGCTGATCAGAAGGTTGGCGGTTCGAATCCCTGCGACAGGGTGAGCTCCCATTGCTCGGTCCCTGCTCCTGCCAACCTAGCAGTTCAAAGCACGTCAAAGTGCAAGTAGATAAATAGGTACTGCTCCGGCGGGAAGGTAAACGGCATTTCCGTGCGCTGCTCTGGTTCGCCAGAAGCGGCTTAGTCACGCTGGCCAAATGACCCAGAAGCTGTATGCCGGCTCCCTCAGCCAATAAAGTGAGATGAGCGCCGCAACCCCAGAGTCGGCCACGACTGGACCTAATGGTCAGGGGTACCTTTACCTTTGTTTAAGAACAGCTTGGTTTATGAACAACTTGGATTAAGAACGCTGCAAACCCGGAAGTAGGTGTTTTGGTTTGTGAACATTGCCTTGGAAGAAGAACATGTTCCACTTCCTGTTGAGTGTAAATTGAGTCTCCCGCTACTATGGGAAAGCACGCCTTGGTTTAAGAATGCTTTGGTTTAAGAACGGACTTCCAGAACAGATTAAGTTCGTAAACCAAGGTACCACTGTATTTAATCAACTAAAACATGGGCGTTTGTATTGCAAATGGTGGTGAATGTTGCACACAGATATTTCCTACCTGGTATGACTAGAGACATTATTGCTAATGAAAAATAATTTCTGATGAAGGAACTAAATACAAAATGAAACGCTGCTCTCCTGGCAATACTATTCTATTGTCCTGGAGAACTGAAAGGGTTGCAGGCACTCTGACTGATCTGTGTTTTATAAATGAGGGGCACATTGATTCTTAGCTCAAATTTTTAGAGTCATGCTTCTCCAAATCTAGATGGTAGCACTTATTTTTCGCACACAAGTTGCAGGTGTGGGTACAGGATGACGACTTTTCATTATATTACATTTACATTACAGGTGCCACATAATACCTGTTTCACATTGTAAGATCTGAAACATAGTGTGTGGCAGCATTTACACTTCGGAATTTCCTGCCTATTGACATCAGGCAAACACCTTCACTTCTCTCTTTCAATGCCTCCTAAAAACATTTTTGTTTAGTAGTAGAGCCTGCCCAGATGTGTAGAATGTAGATGTGTGTTCTAATCTCTTTTTAGTTTCTTGCTGATTTTGTTTTGTGAATGTTTTAAAGAATTGCCTTTACTTGATTTTATTCTCTTCCTAAACCACTTTGAGGATTTTTTTTTTTTATTCAACGAAGCGGTGTGTAAATTAATGAAATAAATAAATGAATGTGTTTGCCATTTTCAACGCAGGCTCAGCAGTTTGAATGGGTGAAGAACTGGTACCCTGGGTTGTACTCTACAATTCAGAAGTTTGCGAAAGAAGGTCGTTTCATTCCTGTTGGGGGCACCTGGGTGGAAATGGTAAGAAGGCAAGCACCCTTCTCGGTAGCTGGGCCACACAGGCACACCTTCTGCCTGTGTTCCAAGTGTTGAAATGAACTTCTTTGTAGCTTACATTTCTAGCAGGGTAGCCAATGTGGGGACCTGCAAATGTTTCCATACGCCAATTCCCAGCAGCCTTGGCCAGCATGGCCCTTGGTCACTGATGATTGGCATTAACAGTGCACCCATCTAGAGGGCACCACGTTGGCCAGCCCTGAAAAGAATCTCATTGTACTCTATGGCCCATACTGCTTGATCTTCTCTCTGGCTGCTAGAGCCCAGAATTCTTAGATAGAGCACTGATTTTTCTGGGATGGGCAATTGCTCCGGCGAAGAACGCTGCCAATCTGTGCAGGTGGAGGGGTAGGAAAGAGTGATGGGCTTAAGCTTCCTGCATAGGGTTAGAGGCTTGTGATCTTCCCCCAGGACGGCAATCTTCCAAGTGGAGAATCCATGGTTCGTCAGTTCCTGCAGGGACAGCGGTTCTTCCAGCAGGAGTTTGGGAAGCTTTGCTTGGAGGTAGGTGCTCCCAGCCCCAGACGTGTCCTTTGGTCCCAGGGCGGGGGGGGGGGGGCGGGACTTCAGGCATGGGGGCAAAATGCAACCCTCAATCAAAAACTGAAAAAACCCGGCATAAAAACAGAACTATTAAAGTACATATAGTAACAATAGCACAGTGCTATTTAAAAGCACTTTTCTTAAAAAAATGGTTAGTTTCCCAAAGCAGTTGAATAGCCTCCACCTACCAGAAGAAGGACAAGGAGGGAACCAGCCTAGCCTCTGTAGGAAGGGATTTCCAAAGCCTGAGAGGAGCCACCACCAAGAAGACCCTCTCCTGCATCCTAACCAGTGAGGTTGTCCTGGGCATCTGCTGGATCACTGCTTGAACCAGACTGCTGGGTGAGATGGACCTGTTGTCTGGCCAGCAGGGCAGCCGTCACATCATTTGCTGTTTATTTCATCTGTTTCTCTCCTGCACAATCAGTTCTGGTTGCCAGACACGTTTGGCTACTCTGCACAGCTGCCCCAAGTGATGAACGGCTGCGGGATCCACCGGTTTCTAACGCAAAAGCTTAGCTGGAACCTCGTGAACACTTTCCCGGTGAGTTGTTTTGCTGTTTTTCAGTCAAGAAAAAGTGTAATAGTTTAGAAATTTCAGGGGTCAGCAAACTTTTTCAGCAGGGGGTCAGTCCACTGAATCTCAGACCTTGTGGGGGGCCGGACTATATTTTTTTGGGGGGGAAATGAATGAATTCCTGTGCCCCACAAATAACCCAGAGATGCATTTTAAATAAAAGCACACATTCTACTGATGTAAAAACACACTGATTCCTGGACCGTCAGCAGGCTGGATTTAAAAGGCAATTGGGTCGGATCCATCCCCCGGGCCTTAGTTTGCCTACCCATGGTTTAGATTGAACAAGGAATAGCTTTTCTTTGCATTGCTTGAAAAGGAGTGCCTGGGTGTGTGTTCTTCCTCAGTTGAAATCTGCCCAGTAGCATCATAGGATTATTCAAGCCATTGTTTATGAAGCTGGCTCCCCCTGCTGCCACCACCAACCGTAGTTAAGATTAAGCACAGTTTAGGGTTTGGACATAGTGCCAAATCAGTGATTCCCACCCGCTTGGTTCCATAAACTCATCCTCAATGTCTCCCCTCCCCTCCAAAAAACATTATTCAGAATAGCGGTTTGCATGACCCACTAAGGAAGGAAGTAGTAACAGTAACAATTAATTGCACGTGTATTCAAAAAATAAATTTATGCTGTGGTATAATCTTGCAGCTAAGAAATATAACAAAGACTATTGCATGAAAAATATTATGTTGGGGAGATCTCACACAGGTGAAGGGAAGCAGTGGGGAGGAGGGGAGGGTTAGGTTGAATTTGGGAAATAAAATAATATATGGGACAGCAAAGCATGTAATAGATTCTTATAGAATAGTAATATATTGAAACCAGAATAGAAGTTCAAAAGGGGAAGTAAATGTATTTTTAGTATTTCCATTATTGTAATAGTTATTATTATTTCTTATCAGTAGAAGGCAATGTTAACTTAGACTTCTTCGTTTTGCTGTCTGTATAATTTTCTTAAGTCAATTTTAAAAAAAAAGACTATTGAACGAAAAATATTTTTTACAAACTCTTGATAACGAAAACATACAGGTGAAGGAGATTTATAGCATAAAATATTTATATATAACTACTTACCAAACACACACAAACCTTCGCCCACCGCAGATGACCAGTAGCTAGTTTGTAAGAAAATCAATAGCTGTTACCAATAACGGTCTCTCTTGTGGCAACTCACAATTGAAAAGGGAAAAGCTCTGCGAGCGATAAGAATAGTAAATCTTTAAATGCGAAGTGATCAGTGCCCCTCGGAGGCGCCCCACCCCCAGCCCCCCCTGCAGCCCCCTTGCCTCTTAGCACCCCCTAGGTAGTCCTACCACCTCCCAGGGGGCAGAAGCACTCACTGTAGGAACCCCTGACATAAACCATGTGACTATGGGCCACGATCTTCTCTTGCAGCACAACACCTTTGTCTGGGAAGGCATTGACGGGTCCCAGGTTTTAGCCCACTTCCCACCCGCAGATTCCTATGGGCTGGCTGGTTGTGTGGAGGAGGTGAGTGAGGGCCACTTGCCCCCCGGAAGAAGGAAGTGAGGGCCAAGTTGGGGTGGGGCTTCTAGCACTTCTGAAGACCGGCAACTGCAAGGAATGCATTGCAAGGGAATAGACTAAATGACCTGGAAACCATTGCTTACCCAAGGTGCTGGGAATTGTATCCCCTGTGAGGGGCGAGGGGAGCCATGCACTTTAAATGTGATTTGTAGGAATGATCGCTGGGTGCGTAGTACACTCCCCCTCACAGATAAAGCCACAGCTGTCTGAACATCTTGCCTTCTGTCTAACCTTTGGCGGTCTCAGTAGTCTGCGGTGTCCTGTCTGTAACCTTTGTCTCTGAGACCTTTTGTCTCCTTGTGCAATACCCTGTGCAAGGGGGAAATGACACGGTGGAAACAGGTGCCAAAATAACTTTGTACCACCCCACGATCTCGGGACTGGAAGATGTGTAAAGGTCACAGCCCAAAATGTATCTGCCTGGGTTTGCATATTGTGTCAACAAAAGGAGCCTCCACAGAGCTGGCCGGCAGCTTGCTTGCAGCTCACCTGCGTTACCAACTCCTGCCTCATGTCCTTCACTTCAGTGCTTTGCGTGTGTGGTGTGTGTCAGGTGCTGCTGGTGGTTGCTCGCGAGTAACCAGGCAGGACTCCAAACCTGTCTTTTACAGGTTTTATTGTGCAAACTATTTACATTGCAGATCTACAAAGTTCATGTCCGTCTTAGTCACTTGCAGAATCCGGGAGTGGCCCCTTCCAGCTTCTCCCCCAACATAAGAACTTCGGCACCCCAAGCCTCCTCCTTCCCTCCTTGCATTTCACCCCTCTGCACAAGCTGGGCGACGGAAGTGGCATGCGTCCCTCCTGGCCAGCCTGGCGAGGTGAGGCGCTGGGGTTCTCAGCAGCATACTCAAGCCCTTTCCTCGCTTGGCTGGCGTTTCCCCTCACTGCTCCTCAGAAACTGCTCCTCAGGAGCTTCGGAGGCTCTCTGTATCCCAACCCTGCCTCCCTCCCCTGTTCCGATTGCAGTCCCCTGACAGTGTGGATCAACCGTATTACCTCCTGACACCAGGCAAACAACCTTAACTGTATTATTTTCAGTGCCTGCTTAAAAGATTTTTATTTGGGAAAGCCTATCCAGAAAATATTTTGAATATTTTAAAATACCTGTTTTAACTGAGTTTTTCTAATGCAATAATGTTGATGTTTTCTCTTATATTCTTGCAAACTTTTCTTTTACAATGGAGCTGCATGTGAATCTTGGGAATAGAATAAATAAATATTCCCTTCGAAAAGAGGTCACGTCATCACGTACACATTGTTGCTTCTGCCCTAGATGTTAAAAACGGTGAAGAACAACAGGGACAGGGGCCGTGTCAACCACAGTGCCGCTCTCTTTGGCTTCGGAGATGGGGGAGGCGGCCCAACGCAGAAGATCCTGGACAGGCTGAGGAGAATGAAGGACACAGATGGCTTGCCAAGGTCAGTTTCCCTTTGCTACTCTGACAAGCCCACTTTATAAAGGAGAAATAAAATCCTGGCTTCCTGTGGTTAGGAAGATGGACCCACAAAGGTATGGGCTGAATAAAAGATTTGTGGGAAGCCATATACAGTCATACCTTGGGATAAATATGCTTCAGGATAAGTATTTTCGGGTTGCGCTCCGCGGCGACCTGGAAGTAACAGAGCGCGTTACTTCCGGGTTTTGCCGCTCGCGTATGTGCAGACGGTCAAAATGACGTCACGCGCATGCGGGGAAGCGGCGAAACGTGACCCGTGCATGCGCAGATGTGCAGTCGCATCTTACGTTCTATTCAGGATGCGAACGGGGCTCCGGAACGGATCCCGTTCGCATCCCAAGGTACCACTGTAAATGCCCCATAAACAAATTGGGAAGAACACTCATTAACTCTCGGCATCTCCCCCCTGCATCCGGATGAGCATTTACCTAGTCGGAGGACACTTTCCTGCACCTCAGGAGGTGGCGCAGCAGGGCCAGTGAGGGGGCGTGGCCTGGAGGAAAGAGGGTGTGGCCTTTTGAGCATCCCCAGGACTGGATGGAGAGGCATTTAGTCTCTGGGCCTGAAGCTCTCCCCAGCCCTGCTACAACTGGTGGTTTCTCTTTCTCTCCTTCTCGCAGGGTTCAGATGTCCACACCTGACCGGCTTTTCACTGCCCTGGAAAAGGAAAAGGCTCAGCTGTGTACCTGGGTTGGCGAACTGTTTCTTGAGCTCCATAATGGCACATACACCACACATGGACAGGTTAGTATGCACAGGAAAACGGTCAATTAGACAGTCCTCTGGCTGAGAGTCAAAAGGTCTGTCCTCGGAAGCTTCTGTTCCCGAATTTCTAAAACCAGCATAACCTTAGAAGTTCAACTTGGGGGAAGTTTGTCCTCATAAGCCTCCTGTCGGTTGCTGCAGCGTCTGCTTATCTTGCTTTGTGAGACAGGAAAGGGCAACCTTCAGGTGCTGTTGGACTCCACATCCCATCAGCTCCAGCAAGCAGAACCAATAGTCAGGAATGATGGGAGTTGTAGTCCAACAAAGGTCCGGAAGGCCGCAGGTTCTGGGTACAAATACGTAGAGTTGCAATGTTACAACTTGCAATCTCTGCTTATCAGTATCTGATTATCATCATCATCAATTAAACAATTAATTACAGCATTGAAATCCACTACGAAAAACAATTTAAAGCAACTGGCAATCATAAAAAACAATGTGTCTGATCATTTCCTTCCATTGCCGTTGTCTGTAAATGTTTTCTCCTTTTGGAACCAGATTAAGAAGGGGAATCGGGAGTGTGAGCGCCTGCTCCACGATGTCGAGGTTCTGAGTAGCTTTGCTTTGGCGCAGAAAAGCTCTTTCCAGTACCCTTCGGCTAAGCTTCAGCACCTGTGGAGGTACAACTTTGAATGTGAATATTTGGTGCTGTTCAGAATATGGGATCTTGTTGGGCTTCGTTGGGGTAGTAGGAAGGGTGGCCAAATCCTAAGAAAGGTCACCCACCACCTTTTCCCCTCCCCACTCTTATCATGGATCCTGCCTGCTCTCCATCTAAGGACTGTGACAAGGTGGTGGAGCCCCTGACCCTCACATGCTTTGTATAGATGCCAGCTAGTTCCTCTCTTCCTTTGGATCTCCTGAATTTTTTGTCCCCTTGGCAGGCTCCTCCTCCTGAATCAGTTCCATGATGTCTTGCCAGGCAGCTGTATCCAACTGGTAGCTGAGGATGCCATGAGATACTATTCAGGTATGAATTTACCCTGGCCCTTGAGAGAGGCCTCAAGAGGCCCTGCTCCTCAGCCTGCTATCGGATACATTAGATTGGTCAGCCCGAGAGGCAGGGCCTTGGTGGTGGCAGCCCCAGTCACATGAATTCACTTCCTAGGGAGACACATGTTGCCCATATTTTACTGGGTTTAAGAATCTAGCATTTTCTTCAGATATTGAGCTGTCAGAATGACTATAGCGTGGAACAGGGGTTTCTCTTTTTTTTTTTTATAATAATCTTTATTAAATTTTCAAAAGGTTACAAATAACCGAACAAAAAAGAAAAAGAGAAATAAGAAAAAAGTTAAAAGACCAGAAAAGAAAACAAAAAACAACAAAGAAAATTCCCACCTTTTACACTCATTTTCCGTAACTTCTTTTCGAGACTTCCCCACGTCTCCCCTTATTGTATTCCAACTTCAGTTGTTTATTCAAGCAAGTTTTCCCCTTAATATCCTGAAACATAGTTTATTTAAAATCACTTAACCCTAGTTTAGTTAAAATAATTTTTTATAGCAGAATTTAACTTTAATTCGTTGTTATACCTTAGCAATTTATTAAAACATATACCTTTACCCTATATATATAGAAGGAACAAAGATGTAAGAGTAAAGCTAAAAAATTAAAAAAAAAAGATACCCTTCCTAAGGTTGCCACTATTTCCCCTCCACGGATTCCCCATTCTTATAATAATAAAAAACCTATAATTTTTATACTGCAAAAGCAAAAAAGAAACAGACCCCCTTCGGACTGTTAGGTCCCACCCTTCCCTCCCCGGTTTCAATCCCTAACCAAAATCCATTTAGTCCATCTTTTTAGCCTGGTGATCTTACGTCCGAGGCACGCAAATCTCTCTCAGTCCCTTTCAACCGATTTCTTCGAAAGTCTCTCATGCTTAACACCCAGGATCGAGGAAGTATTTTCTCAAAGCTGACCATGATTCTTCCAATGAGGCCTACTTGTTTAAAGGTGGTGCTCCAACGCTGTTTCATAAATCTAAATGTCCCAAATAGTCTGACTTTCACCTTGGTCAATTTAAGGTTCTTCTTAGCAGGTCTCCAGCTCTCTTTTCTCTTCTGTAACATCTCAGCCATCCCTTCTTTCAGCTCCTCTTGCTTGGCAGATGTCTTTTCCTCCTCAATCTTTGGTTCTTTTTCTTGTCCAGCTGCCTGTGTTTTGAGCAGCGAGTCCCTTTCCAATTCAGTTGGTATATTTTCAGATAACTTCGGGTTTGAGGGGCTCGTAGACAAAACAAGGCCTTTCTCATTCATCTCTAACAACTTTCCCACGAGAGAGGTCAACTTTTCCAAGCCAGCACGTATTTCCTGTATTCCCTGTTTTAGTTCCATTCTTGTAATGTCCATGAATCCCCTCTAGAGGGATTCTGGTTACTTAGTGTTCTTTTCCCTTCCGATCCAAAAGTCAGATTTGTTTGTAACAATCTTTCTTTGTTTTCAATATTTTGTAGCAATATAACTGGTTAGAGTTTCAACTTTCAATTTTTCCAACTTTGACAGCTAGTTTGACAGCTGTCAAAAGTTCCTGTAAATCCTCAGCAGGCTCTTAGCTCGGGTTACTCCCGGGCTTGAGAAAAGTGGTACTTAATTCAAACGAAGTAAACTCTAGTCCTCCAGCACATTAGCTTAGTCCTTTTAAATCCGTGGAATTTGTATCCTTATCCAATCCCGGCAACTGTTCCCGCAACCTTAGCTGACAAGTCCTTGCTTTGAACTGTTTACAATAGGGGGGAGACGGACTTCCTTTTTTTCAGCTCCCCCGCTCGTGCCAAATCCAAAGCCAAAAATATTGTAATCCAATTTTCAAATTACTCACGGGTTGTTGTTCTTGCTTTTAAGTCAAAATTTAGTAGGAAGAAGTCAGCGCTGACCGAAGAATGGCATGCGGCTTCGCTCGGCAGGGGAAGCGGAGGACTCACAGCACCACGCCGCTCCCTGGCACCTGATCCGTAGCCTTTAAAAAGGCTCCTTCACGAGTCGGGAGGGCGCTTACGGTGCCCGCCGAGTCACCATGTCCACGGGCTCTGTGCCCGTAGTTTTTAAGGGTCCCCGTGTCGCCGGCACGGCAAGACCCAGCCCCCTGCTAAGCCGATTCCCTCCGGAGCTCGGAGGGAATCCGCCATTAGCCAGTCGCGCCAACCCGGAAGTCTTCGGAACAGGGGTTTCTCAACCCTGGTCCTCAGACCAGCAGTGGTCCAAAAGATTTATTCAGGAATCTGCAATCTGCAATAAAATACAGTATAAGAAATAAAAGCAGCAATGCACATACAATTAAAAGCCATGCAGTATCTGACACAAGGGACGCGGGTGGCATTGTGGTGTAAACCACTGAGCCTTGGGCTTGCCGATCGGAAGGTCGGCAGTTTGAATCCCCACGACAGAGTGAGCTCCCATTGTTCGGTCCCAGCTCCTGCCAACCTAGCAGTTTGAAAGCACGCCAAAGTGCAAGTAGGTAAATAGGTACCGCTCTGGCAGGAAGGTGAATGGTGTTTCCGTGCGCTGCTCTGATTTCACCAGGAGCGGCTCAGTCATGCTGGCCACATGACCCAGAAAAACTGTCTGTGGACAAAGGTCAGCTCCCTCCACCAGTACAGTGGTACCTCGGGTTACAGATGCTTCAGGTTACAGACGCTTCAGGTTACAGACTCCGCTAACCCAGAAATAGTACCTCAGGTTAAGAACTTTGCTTCAGGATGAGAACAGAAATTGCGCAGCGACAGCAGGAGGCCCCATTTGCTAAAGTGGTACCTCAGGTTAAGAACAGTTTCAGGTTAAGAACGGGTCTCTGGAATGAATTAAGTTCTTAACCCGAGGTACCACTGTACTTTGTTTTATCTTGGAGGGCAGGCACCCAAAGCAACCCAAGGAACGCTAACTGGCAGTTGGGGGGTGTGACACCAGCACAGAAGGCAACTCGGAACAGAGTAACTGGGAAGAGGGCATGTTCTAGCTGTGGAAAGGAACCATCCGCACGGCAACATTTTGTTGCAGGTCCCATTTGCCCCTTTTAAAATATATGCTACTGCCTTAGCTCACTCTGGATGGGCAAGTCCCCTTAATGGAAATCCTTTCCCCCCAGAAATTTGCAGTGCTGGATCTCAACTTCTGAAAGATGCTGTGCAGTCTCTGTTTGGAGGCATTTTGTCAAGCAGTCAAGAGACTAACGGGAGCATCCTTGTGGTCAACACGTTGCCGTGGAAACGAACTGAAGTCATCCCCAAAGCTGGACCAGGAGGATCCAAGACCTTAGGTGCCAACAGTGCTTCAGACCAAAAAACCTTTTGATTCACAGATAGATTACTTTATAGCAAGTCCTTCTCACTGTAGTGTGTAAAGTGCTTCTAATCATTACAGAGTCCTTGCAGTATTCTTAAGCGAAGGGATTGTTGCATTCATAAGAAATGCTAAAACTGGAATTAATGGACCTATTTTAGTTGTGCCCATTAATTTCAGTATGCATTGTGTCCCCAGGTGGGAGTGAGATACAGTGCAGAGGATTGTAGAAGGACTCGACCTTAGCCAATGCACCTGTCTTTTGGCTGCTTCAAATTTAACCTGTCTCCTTTGTACCTCTTTAGCCTTGGTGACAGTTCCCAGCATGGGCTACTGTGTTGTTCAAGATTCCTTACCTCCTCCATATCCCGTGACAGTGACCAAAGAGGTGAGCTCATCTGTGGCTTTTGCCAGGAAACCGGAGTTAATAATATATGCCGCAGGGGCTACCAAATGGTGGGCACTTGAGGGCACATGTGGTGGGACTGCCTCAAGGTTGCGGAATTCTGGGCCACGACGTTCAAAGATATTTCTTTAATAACAAATCACACTCGTCCCTCCTTCATATCTGGTGCTTCAGAATTATTTTCTGAAGCTGATAAAGAAAAAATAAGGAATTCATTTGCCACCTTTTGATGGCAGCAAGGATGTCTGGAGCAATGTTTTGGGAAACGTTTGAGCTAGTCAATTTGGCCTACTGGTACGCAAGGGTTTGGCAGGTAGCCTTGCTGGAAGAAAAATCCCATAAACTGTCTCTAGGTGGATTCGTTCAGAAAGACAAGTTTGATGAAGTATGGTTTGATTTCATATAGTTTCAGAACAATGAGGCATGTGGATGGATGCCCCTCCATGGAATAAGTTACATGTAAGTGCAGCAAATTCCATGACTTGGGAATGGAGATCCCGTTGCCTCTCTAGATGTTCTGTACTACAACTTGCATCACCCCTAGGGGATGATGGGAGCTAGAGCCCCTCTTTCTCTAGCTGATGGGTGAATGTAGGCAGCCTGTGTTTCCCCTTATTCTTAGGCATCAGGGTGTGACTGTTGGGATGCTGCCAGGGAGATGGGGGCATCAGGCAGACCCTGAGCTGGCTCCAGCCACCGGCCGGCAGCCGGGCGATCTCCAGGTCACGGAACAGCATCAATCAGTCATCGACTCGAGCCTCAGTAGCCTTCTGAAGCTACCGAGCACGCTAATTAGCAGAGTGATTAAATCTCCACAATGGAAGTGGCAGACAGAGACATGTGTAAGCATTATTTACAGCATTTATTCAGCATAGTTCAGGAACAAAGGAAAAAACATGTCTGCTTCCCTTTGTCTCCAGCAAAACAGCAATAAAGCAAAAGCAATATACAAACGGAAGTTCCCAGCAGACTGTGCTGGAAGTAAACAGGCATGTGACACACAACAGTCATGCCTGTTCCCTTTTAAGGAGGAACGGAACTATATCCTAACAGTGGCCTCCTAGCGGCTCTTGCTCCTTTTCCTTTATTTAGTTCTTAAATCTTCCTCTGCAGGTGGATGGCTCTGTCATTATGAAGAATGGTCTTGTCCGAGTCTGTCTGGATACTCTGGGGCGTGTGACATCGCTTTGCTTAATGCAGCCAGAGAGGTACTTTGAGATCTGAACTTTATTTTTTCTCAGATCAAGCCATGCAATTCCTTGACTCTTCCGAGGGTGTGCTTTTCTCCTTAGAGAGTCAGTTCCCGAAGGTTGCTGCGCTAACCAGTTTGTGATATTTGACGACGTTCCATTGTATTGGGATGCCTGGGACGTTATGGACTATCACCTGGAGACCAGGTAGGTTGCCTGTCATCTTTTTGGCACAATGCTGCAGCTTGAGATTTCTTGTATGTAACAAAAGGATGCTGAAGAGCTTCTCTTCGCAGCAAAGGTTACGGCATCCATTCGGTCTCTCTTGAGACAGAGCTGGAATTGCAAATCGGTCAGAGAGAATCACACACACTTTGCATCAATGGCACAATTTACCGTATTTTTTGCTCTATAAGACTCACTTTTTCCCTCCTAAAAAGTAAGGGGAAATGTGTGTGCGTCTTATGGAGAGAATGCAGGCTGCGCAGCTATCCCAGAAGCCAGAATAGCAAGAGGGATTGCTGCTTTCACTGCGCAGTGATCCCTCTTGCTGTTCTGGCTTCTGAGATTCAGAATATTTTTTTTCTTGTTTTCCTTCTCCAAAAACAAGGTGCGTCTTGTGGTCTGGTGCGTCTTATAGAGCAAAAAATACGGTAGTTTAAACCACTACAGCGCTTCCAGGTGTTGTTAAAAAATATCCAGGTGTATCACAAGCATGTAGGGAGAACAACAAGTAAGCAAAAGCAAGGGCTTATATAAAAAGAAATAGCACATTTCCTTGTTTGAGAACACTGCATGTTTTCAGCATAGCTCAAAACTCAAATCTATGTATCTCAGGGTAAGCAATATTTACCACTGTAAGGAATGTTCTTGCATTTTGGAACCCTTCTCACTCCTGTTCTCCTCTCTCTGTTACATACTCATTTCTCTTGCAAAATCTTTAGGCATAGCCATTCTTCCTTTGCAGAGGAAAGGAAAACAGGACTAAGGAGGAGGGCGCAGTGCAGACTTACCTCTTAGTGTGAGTGGAATGGAGGGAACCAATGAAAGTGATGGCCAACAGACTGAAAACAAAGGGAAATGGAATGTCTAATTCACTAATGGAGCAAATAAAGGAGCAGCCACAGCTCAGTGCAGTAGGGAGCCTGCTCTGCAGTGTTAGTCCCAGAACCTCCAGTTAGAAGGTAGTAGGTGATGGTGGAGGGGACTGCCTGAGACCTTGGAGAACTGCTGCCAGCCAGTGTAGTACTGATCTAGGTGGAGAAATGTCTGCCTCTGTGTAAGGGAACTTTATTTGATGGGACCAGGCGGGCAGGCACGGAACGGAATGAAATCTAATCTGCTATCTGAAACCTTTTGGCTTTTCTAGGTAGTGTGGTGGATTTCTTCAGTAAACACACCATTGTGATGCTTGAGATGGCTTTATCTGGTCACAATAGCGGCCTCTGGGGAGCCCACAAAAGTGGAGTCCCAAACCTATAAATCACACAGGCTTACATAGAGACATTCCTTCACCTTAGCTTTGCACATGTGTGGAAGTGAAGCCACGTTCTCAGTGGGAAAGTGCGCCTGCGTGGCCAGAGCTGGATCCCTTGATTCACCAACAGGAACACGGCGCCTGCTTTCTATCAAACTAGCCCAAGGCTGGGTTTTCCCCGCACAAACATTCTTGACACCTCCTTAATACAGTCTGAGCAAGCAGATTCTCCTGACTGTATCCTTTCACACATGCTTGTTTACATCTCTTCACATATGGGTATTGGGCATTTGAAACATGGCACAGAGTGCGTGCAGAGTAGACCACACAGATGGGAACACTGAAGAGACGCAAAAATATCTTTGCATGGTTTAATAACAAAACTCCTCTAACATACATCTTACATAGTGTCTATAATCATCACCCATCCATCCACCAGGGGAGAGTAAGGTGCATACTGCACATTATATACCATTCACAATTGCTGACACAGCTAATTACAGTGACTTATCAGCATCGGCTACACTGCTAAAGGTAAAGGTCCATTAGGTCCAGTTGTGGCCGACTCTGGGGCTGCGGCGCTCATCTCGCTTTATTGGCCGAGGGAGCCGGCGTACAGCTTCCGGGTCATGTGGCCAGCATGACTAAGCCGCTTCTGACGAACCAGAGCAGCGCACGGAAACACCGTTTACCTTCCCACCGGAGCGGTACCTATTTATCTACTTGCACTTTGTGCTTTTGAACTGCTAGGTTGGCAGGAGCAGGGACCCAGCAACGGGAGCTCACCCCATCGCGGGGATTCGAACCGCCAACCTTCTGATCGGCAAGTCCTAGGCTCTGTGGTTTAACCCACAGCGCCACCCGCGTCCCTATGCTACACTGCTACGCAGCTGTAAAAACTAGGTCAGGATATGCACCCTGGCTTTTAAATTGGTACACACCCTGTGGAACAATAATGAACCCTAACATTTAAACAAACTATTCAACAATGGGCTGTCTACGCTACAGTAGTCAGCAGAGGCAGCTCCCCATGGGTATCAGGCTTTTTGTGCTCCCTCTTGTGAGGAGAAGCACCATCTTCTACTCAGAATAAAGCTTCCCACAGCCACCGTTGGAGGCAGTGATGCTCCTGAATACCATTTCCTGGAAACCACAAGAGGGGAGAGGGCTGCTCTTGTGATCGGTTCCTGCTTGTGGGATTCCCATTTTGGGCATTTGGTTGGCACTAGACGGGCTGGACTAGACGGGCCATTGGCTTGATCCAGCAGGGCTCTTTGGATATTCTTCCCTTACGGCCTAGAACAGGGGTCCCCAAACTAAGGCCCGTGGGCTGGATAAGGCCCGAGGGACTCGTTTATCCAGCCTGCGGCAACTGCCGCTGTCCGCTCTAACCAGTGCTGCGCGGCTGCCCACTTCCGGGTCGGAGGAGCACCGGAAATTGGTTGTGCGCATGCGCAAGTGTTATTTCCGGTGCACATTCGGGTCGGAGGAGGCCCGCGCACATGCGCACAAGCTATTTCCAGTGCTCCTCTGACCCGGCAGTGCGCCGGAAATAGCGTGTTCACACGCGTATGGGCACACGCTCCCCCACCCTCCGGTCCGCCGCGCAATCGGCGCTGGAGACACCGGCCCGAGGTGCAGTAGGTTTGCTGACCCCTGGCCTGGAACTCTGAGCCAATGATTTCCTTGTAAATATCCCTTTCAGGAAGACCGTTGCACATCTCCTTAAACCCTTGGAAATCATCCAGCCAGGGGGACTGCGGGGCAGTGTGACCTTCTCCCTTCAGATCAGCGAGAAGAGCGTCCTTACCCAAGAGGTCATTCTGGACGCAGCATGCCCTCACGTCCGCTTCCAGACTCAGGTTCGATATGCTTGTAATCTTCTCTGGAAGCTCTTTCCCCTCCTAAATACACCCATACCTGTGTATGTTTTGTAAATCTGTTTTTTCCCCTTTAAATATTTTTTAAATTACATTTCAAGAAAAGATCGTACAAGGTTATGCAAAATACAGTGTTAGCAAACAGGGTCTGGTGACAATATACATAGTCCATATACCATTACTGACCACTGTCAAACAAATACAGACATAAAATAAAACCAAAATAAATAAACCACAGGTATGTGAATGTGTGGAAGGTAGCAAGTGGAGCTATCTATAGCATAGGCATCAGTTAAAGAAGACAAGGTTACAAAACATGGACCCTGTTATACCAAGGAAAATGATGAAATGTGCTGAGTCAGTGTATAAGCCATATTTGTTTGTAGGCCAAGGGAGGTCTTTGCTTACCATAGCTGTCAACTTTTCCCTTTTCTTGCGAGGAATCCTATTCGGAATAAGGGAATTTCCCTTAAAAAAAGGAAAACACTGACAGCTGTGCTGCTTACAAGTGAAATAATGTCAGACCAAACAAGTATGAAATCGTCCTTTTTCTTTGGCCCCTCAAGACTCTCAGCTTACTACGTTTTCCAGCAAGGCAATATCCCACACTTTAGATGGGTCCAGTCTAATCTTTTCCACAACTGTGCAATCCTCATTCCAGCTGCTATAAGTAGGTGCACTATCAAGCCTTTCTTATGCAATGTTTAAAATCTATTGATTCAGAATGCTTGATATTTCTGATTAAAAAAATATTATAAAAGAGGCCTGCTGTGCAAAATCCAAAGGTTGATTTTATAACCTTAGTCTATGAAAGATTGCAGCGTTTTGGGACTTTTAGCTTAGAGAAAAGGTGAACAAGAGGCACCATGATAGAAGTTTAAAAAAATTGTGCCTGGGAGGGAGAAAGTGCATATAGAAAAGTTTTTTCTTTCTCTCTCATAACAATAGAACTCAGAGGCATTCAATGAAGTTGAATGCTGGAGGATTCAGGACAGGTCAAAGAAAGGACTTCTTCTCACAGCGCATAGTTAAACTGCGGAACTCCCTGCCCCTGGAGGCAGTGGTGGCCACCAGTTTCTTGTTGTTTAGTCATTTAGTTGTGTCTGACTCTTCGTGACCCCATGGACCAGAGCACGCCAGGCACTCCTGTCTTCCACTGCCTCCCACAGTTTGGTCAGACTCATGCTGGTAGCTTCGAGAACACTGTCCCACCATCTCGTCCTCTGTCGTCCCCTTCTCCTTGTGCCCTCCATCTTTCCCAACATCAGGGTCTTTTCCAGGGAATCTTCTCATGAGGTGGCCAAATTCTTGGAGCCTCAGCTTCAGGATCTGTCCTTCCAGTCAGCACTCAGGGCTGATTTCCTTAAGAATGCAGAGGTTTGATCTTCTTGCAGTCCGTGGGACTCTCAAGAGTCTCCTCCAGCACCATAATTCAAAAGCATCAATTCTTCAGTGATCAGCCCTCTTTATGGTCCAGCTCTCACTTCCATACATCACTACTGGGAAAACCATAGCTTTGACTATACAGACCTTTGTTGGCAAGGTGATGTCTCTACTTAAAAAGTAAAGACATCACCTTGCTGCCAGCTTAGATAGATTTAAAAGAAGATTAGACAGCTTCTTGGAGGAGAGGGCTATCAAAGGCTACCAGCCACTGTGGGAAGCAGCAATTGCT